AGGTCTCGTCCAGCCCAGCCCAGCCCAGTGCCAGGCATTTGCCTGTCCTGCGAGCCTGTCCAATGGACACAGCTGTCCCCTATTCCCAGTCGGCCCAGGGTGGTGCTCCTAAAACCCGGGTGCCAGTCGCTGGTCACTCAGCGGCGTGGGCTTTTTACCTCCTTCGTCTGTTTGTTGCTTGCCGCCGACGTCGAGTACACTGTACTTGTCGCATCCCGCACTCAACGCCGAGCCCCGAATGTCGAGGGCACTTGGGTCGAGCTTCCCGGTAGGTCAGGGCTTGTGGCGTGAGCAGATGGGATGGCAGCAAAAAAGGGGTGTTGCTGCAACAGATAGATCCAGCCTAAGCGACTAACGCTAGACCTTCTCTGGTATGAAGCCACCTACTGCCACTGACATACACTGACAACGTGGAACTTTACGCATCACACCATGAAGACATGCCGCACAGCTGTCAACGACAGCCCATGAGCGAGCCAGGCAAGGCCGCTTGGGATGGCGATGGCGAAGGCGACGGCGATTTGCTTGCCCATAATCAACTGGCTCCCTCGGGGACACACTGTACTGAAGACCGTGAGGGTGGCCATAAGACGACGCATATACCTAGGCAGCATTAATCCCATAGTATATGTGGGGTCGGCTATTCGCGGTGGCTCAAATGCGTCACATTAGATGAGGACGCCAACCGCTAAGAAGCACCATAAGATGAGCTCGAATGAGGCATGAAATGCGTGCGCTGACGAGCAATATTCGAGTCAATGGAAGCCCCGGCCATGGTATGGAACACTAACTGCAAACAAGTCGATATAGGAAGGGGCTTAACGACTAGTGCAGAAATGATGGAATCCTCACAAAATCGAACGATTCCGTCAAGATGGGATATTCCTGGTCCTGCCTCGGTCACTTACCTTTTTTTCTTGTCTTCGCACTCCTGCCTCGTCCATCCCCGGTCATTACGATCGAGCAACGAACAATTAAGCGCCGCATGGCGATGCTGGACATCTGGTGTCCAAGAAAGACGGCTCTTGATACAAGAAGGAGGGGTGTCCACTGGCACTAGATGGGGTTAGGAGATTGCAAGATGCTTCTAGTGGCCATTGAGCCTCACGACACCTCCCACTAGAGGAAATTCGCAGCCAGCCCATGCCGCATAAGAAAGAGACATCGGTGACCGAGGGTTTGGATTACGAAACTGTGTTGCAGGACACGACCAATCTCCCGGGAGAAGGGCTCCCGGCACGGATGGGACGAACACTCATCAGCTAAGTTAATCCACTGCATCGCGCCGCCAATAGGGCTATCCATACCTCCGTTTACCGTTACCTCAACGACATCTGAGAGCCTCTGCTTTGCATCCCGGAAAGGCATCGAGTTGATTGGTTCTTGTCGAGCGAATACTAGATAGGCAGATTGCTCTCCTCCTTGGGGTCTAGCATCCCCACGCAAGGCTGCTCATACTTCTAACACTAGCCGTTATGTAGCGAGTTGCATAGTACGGATACGGGAGAGAGCGTTCCTGGGCAAAAGCAGACGATACTAGTCGGGACACGCCGTTACGCTGAAATAGGCCGGGATTCTCACAGGAGCGTAGCCGGTTGCCCTTAGCTTTCGATTCTAGGGACCAAGACACGAGCTTCCCACATGGCATTTCCATGTTTCAAGTCGACTGAAAGCCCCCCTCCCCTCCTTCAATTGCCTTTCGTCCCAAGATTTTGATCTGATGCATGGAAGGCAAGTGTGGGGGACGAGAGACACAACCAAACGGCGCGCGATCAGGGAGAGGGGAAATGCCCTACGGCGGTGCTTGCCTAAGGTACCTAGTGTGCCTACCGGTCTTAGGTAAGGTACGGTCGATATGGCGTTGCCAGTCCGCGCAGTACAATTGCCCGCCGTGCCCGCCTAAACATCCCACGTCTGCGTCCACACCCGTGCCGTGTTGGATGCGCGGGGTCACTGCTGCCAGGGTCGCTTCTTTTTCCACAGGTTGGCGCTGAGAGAGCTCAACAGCGGGTGCGTTAGCGCAACTGCGCGGACTACAGCGATTGGTTGAGCCTGAGGCTGCAGTCTCTCGACACTGGACCCACCTTGTCTGCTCGGGCCTCTCCGTTCATCCTCTGTTTCTGCGTGCGGTACGTATCCCCGCCATTGAGGTCGGAGGTTGGCGGTAGACAGCTTCAAACGACATCAAACATTGACGACTTGTCGAATCAGTGCCACTTACAGCGCTCAGCAATCACATTCACTCTCAGTTATCGTCATAGCAGATTAGGGGCCTAGGCTTTCACTGTGTTGAACACGGCTTCACTGAGGACGCCATTTTCACATCCACATCTGCTTGCCAAATCCTTGGTTCGGCATCAATTCGGACATCATTTCAAGCATCGAAGCGACTTGTCACAACACATCTCGACTTGACGAGGCCGACTTCCACGAGACCTTCATACTTCTCACCCTTTCAACCAGCTCGAACAGCTTTTGTATACCTGGCCGCATAAACTGGGGCTCGGCCGGTACATCCCACTGAGATGGTCACCTCGAAGCCGGCCGATATGGATCCTGCAGAGGCTCTTCATGGGCTCATCAATGACGCGGTTAATTGCACCTATCTAGACTGATTGGGAAGACTTCTGCTTACTTTACTCCTTCTCTTTATAGCTCGTACAAACAGGAAAGGCATTGAAAGCCTGGGGTAAGGATGGCAAGCACCAGCTTCAAGCTCACATCTCCCTCCAAACAAAGATGCCGGAAATTATTGAAAGCTTCCACTGGAAGCTAGATGACCTGGAGAGCGAAATTGTAAGTCGTTATTCTGTCAAGTCGGGATGTGTCTTCTCTGACCAATGCGGCAGATCAGAGCAAAGGCAGCTCTGCAAAGAGATCTGGACAGGATACAGGAGGCAAGAAGACCAATTCAACAACCGGCCCCGGTCGATGCGCAGACAAAGTCACCAATGGCCATCGACCTCGACTCCTCATCCGGGGAGCCATCTCCCGACCAAAAGGCCCAGCTCACACAAGCTTCGGGCCCGCATAGGGTCCCCGCAGAGCCGAGCGCGGCTCCATCGATGGCCCCCTTCCCCGACATGGGCGTCAGCTTCCAGCCGCCGGTAGAGCCTGCGCAGGCAATCAAGCAGGAGCAGGCACCGGCACCTCCGGCTATGATGGCGCCCATGGGAGACGTGAAGCCCGAGGTAAAGACCGAACCTATTGCCACACAGCCTCCGCAGTCTGGCGCCCCCGAGGCCCCGATGGACGATCTATTCGGCCTGGGAGGAGACGCGGGCGGCGGCGGCGCGGAAGGAAGCAACTCGGAGTTCCACTTCACCGACATGACATTTAGTCTTGCCCCGCCAAATAACGACTCTCAGGGCCAACCCCAGTCTCAAGATGCCGCCATGGATATGTCATTCGGTTCTGGCGAGATGGGCGGCGATCTCCTGTCCCTCGACAACCTGCTCCCGCCGGACAATGTCAACAACGCCAAAGCCGACACCGCAGCACAAGCAGCACAAGCAGCACCGGCAGCAAGTGCGCCGGCACCGGCGGTAGCCGGCCAGGAAAAGCCTGCCGAAGGCAAGATGGAGAAGCAGGACTCAACAAACTTGGATGACCTCTTCAACCTCGATGGCAACACGAGTCTCGATGGAATGGATCTCGACATGAACATGGGCGGCGACGGTGGAGACGGCAGCACCTTCGATGATATGTACTTTGGCGATATGACGGAGATGGAGCATGGCAAGTTCGACGATGCCTTTTTTGGGATACAGTGACCACCACGAGACGAGTCTTTTGCTTTTCTTGGGAGTGTCGGCGTCTTTGGCCAGGTGTGTTTCTTACGGTTTGTGGGTGGCCTCGCAGTACGAAGAACGTGGGCCTTGGCAGGGTTCTAGGACGGTGTTGGAAGCCGGTAGTGTGCCTCATGGAGCAGTCGCCTCGAGTTTGGCTGAAAGTGCCCATCTCCATATGCGGCACTATGGGAGCATTGCCTCGTTCATGTTCGTAATGGCGTCGGATCCTGAGGATTCCTTTGGTATCAAATACGGCTGTCGTTATCTACCTGGTATCCCTATCTCTTACTGCGGCACTGCCCAATCATTTCTCTTAGTTCCATCGTCTTGACCCTCGTCCTCATTCTTTCTTGTCGTGTTACTGGTCCTCCTCGCCCTGGTACTCATCCACCTCGAGATACTTGGGGTTAAGTTTGGCACCGGGTATGACCCCATTAATAGAGCCTGCGGTCTCCAGACGCTTCATCCGTCCTCGAGTTCTACTGGATACCATGCCGGCCTGTAGATCTTGCCGGACCCTATCTTCACCGTAAAAGTCGAGTCTTGAAGCGGCCAGGACCTCTGTCAGTCGCCTTCCGCTCACAGGGATCGCTGCACTTTTTGTGCAGACATCCTTTGCTATCTCCAAGAAGGCGACATGAAGAAGTTGTATCTCCTGTTCCAGATTATTTCTGTCCTTGTGGAATTGATGGCTTTGGCAGATAACAGGACCCGATATCAAGCCAGCAACAAGAGAATCTTCGCAGAAGCGGCATCGCAATGACACTTCAAAGCGCTGTAGGTTTCTAATGCGTCGTAGTGCAGCCCATGGCTTGGAATTGGGACTGATCATACAGGAAGTAGGCCCCGATTGTCGACGGTTTGCGAACCATGTCGCTGGCGTCGGATACAAGATGCCGGTGGTGATGCCGATGTCGACCTTCAGACTTCGCAGCGAGGTACAGTGAGACAGCATGTCTGCTGCCAGTGACACAGCCTTTTCTCCGTGCAGGCAAACCCCCCACCACGAGATGATGCCGAGGCGTATTTGGCATAGCGAAGAGCGACGAGCTGGCGTCAGAGCCGAAAGGAAGATGTGCAACGATGTCACTGAAGGAAAGGCAAACTCGTTTTCCTGACGCCATGTCAGTATACCGCCAACGCCAAGCTCTGCATTGACTTACTCTGTAGAAGAACGGGTGGGCCAAGGTTTCGTCATAAAAGAATCGACTACTTAGAAGTAAGCTGGTAAAGGTGCATACTGCTTGTTGTCGCGATTTGGGCAGCAGTGAAGCAGTCTTGAACTTGTTGGACCTGTGTTCGATTTGGACAGGCCGAATGGGTTCGTCTTGTACTACTGCCAAAGAGTAGATCATCAGGCGGATCTGCACGCCGGGTCAATTTGTCTCGTCCCAGTTTCGGGGGTTCACACGTACCTCTCCAGGCAATACTTGGAGATAGTTACTGGCGGCACCCTTCTCTGCCAAGAAGGTCACAGCAGGGTCCTTGGGAGCCTGCGAGGTCTTGGCCGTGGCCTTGCGCTTGCGTTTGGGTGCCATTATGGGCGAACACGATGCACCGTGTGGTGGTGAGGTGCAGAATGTGAAGTATCGAGGTTAGGTGGGAAGAGGCGAGGTATGTAGTAGCAAGTCTTTTTTTCCGAACGGATAAACGAAAAAGAAGAGTTTGTCTTTCACTCGGCCAGGAAGGTGCTACTGGTTCTCGGCAGAAAAGGCAAGAGCGACGTGACCTACCTAGACGGTGATTGACATGAAAGAGCAGACTGATGTAGTCTCGGGAAAGAGTAACTCGCGCACCAGCACCTGTTTCTTTCCCATCCCGCACGTCACTTTGCCTCCCAAAGTACATGGACATAACCTCCAATGCCTCCATTCAGCCAACCACTCCTGTGTTTTGTGAGTGCCGCCCATCTCTGGCTCATATCGTACAGGGACATGAGCTCGTGTTGAAGTAATGATTGAACCATTCGACGCAGAAATGTTTAACTTGACTGATATGTCTTGTGGGAGGCATTCGCAAAGGGCAGATAACTGTAACCTGTCTTGACGTCCGGAGACTTCGGATACCTTTTTGGCGCCACATTATAATAATGTGAAGAACGATGGTTCACTTCCGAAAGATTGCAGTGGTCCTCAACTTTCCTTTAGACATAGCTGTCTAGTAGCATACTTGCATAGCCCAATTTGGTATCTGTATCATGATGTAATGCGTTGAAGTGTCCTAGCTCATGCCCAATGCTACCACGCAAATGCGAAAACATGTTCATCCTCCTATATATTTTCTCCTTGAAGAGGCATGACACAGAGAGCGCCCGCAAGCCCCTGTCGCTTCCTTGGCTCCGGCCGGCATAAAACACCTAGGCCACTCGCGTATGACATGCAGTACCGTTGGCTGGACTAGTCCCCGGCATCAGAAGATTCTGCAGTCTGAGAGGGACCTGAGCGGCCGTCAATAAGGGCACCCCTGAGAGATTCTGCACCTTAGCCCGTCTGTTTCATTGTCTGATAACAAGCAAACGGGGGCAGCGACGCCTCCAATTCAGCCTCAACCCCGTGGGGGAGTTTGAACCGAAGCGAAGTTGAAAAAGATGCGATCAAACTCAAAAGCAGGGATGACTGCCAAAGGAAAGCTTGAGTTGGGCAAGGGACACTTACCATCTACTTGACTCCCATTCCAAGACCCAGCCGCAGCAGATCTTAAGTCTCTCTCTGACACTCCTTGTGCCGAGCAATTTGTACTTTTCGTACTCCTTAGCAGGCAGGATGCTGGCAAACCACCAAGGAAATAGTGCCGGATCATTGGGGCATTCTCCATAGATTGCGAGCATCCGTTGTGCCAGCCAAGGCACGCTTTGTTGCCGCATTCTCTCAACGAATGACACGCCAAACGACAGTAGCTCGCTCGTTGGCATCTTTGAAAGATCTTCGGGTGTGGTTGTAACAGGGGGCGTTGTCGTCGAGTCCTCGCTTTGATGTGTATTGGCGCTCTCATATCTTTCCAGAGCTAGTTGGGTTTCACCCGCCTCCAGATCTTCCTCCTCCGCAATGGAGATGTCGTCAATCCTCTCAATCTTCCCTACCAGGTACCCGTCCAATATACCATGTCTTGTGATCCTGAACCGAGAGATGCCAGTTGTTTCGATGAGACTACGGCCATCGGCAAAATATTCCGCGTTCACGATCCGCAGTAAAGTACCTTGCTCCTTGAAATGAGTGTCGTTGGCCGTGCGCGGCCGCTGTGGAAGGACCATGCCGAAAGTTCGATCGCCTTCAAGTGCTCGCCGAATCATGAGTCGATATCGTGGCTCAAAGACGTGGAGAAATGTTGGCATCATGGGGAATGAAAGCGTACAAACGAATATCGGAATGTCAAATTCCCGATGTCTGTTCAATGCCTCGGCAGCCAACGCATCGCCTCTAGTGAGGACTGCGTCGGCCCAAAAGGTTTGGATGATAGTCTTGAGATGTTCGTTTGACGGACAAGATTCTCGGTACAGCAAAGGGCTGACCGAGAGGCCCCTCCGACATATGGGGCAGTATGAAGAGTGGTCCAACACCCGATGCAGGCATGAACGACAGAAGGTATGGCCGCAGACCGTCGTCAAGGGGTCGTAAAATAAGGCATAACAGACCTGACAGTCCATTTCTGTCCTGACAGATTCCTTGACCTTGGAGAAAGTCTTAGTGTCCAGAGTAGCGGCCTCATCACCATGGGAAGATACTTCAGCAAAGGCAATGTCAGAGTTGTAGTCCAAATCGCCCTCTTCAGCAAGTGTGTAAACCGCGATCAACGGGCCCCCACGGATGACTCTCGACGTCGTCTCATGGTCTTGCTCTTTCGTGTCGCTATCGCCATGATTTGCTGGTTGTATGACAATGTGAGAGGAAATTTCGGCGACTGTTTCCGCCATCCTTGCCTTTTCAATCTCTGCTTTGAAGTTGTTGACTGCCTTGGTGAGGATAACGTCAACACCGCAATCGCCCACCGCATGGTTGCGACCACATCCGGGGTAGGGACATTCGAAGCCTTGTAATCTGCCCGGTGTGGCTGGGTACGATATGTTTTCTCGGGCGTGCGTCTCGGGGAGGCATTCTCTGCAAAGGCTTCTGCCGCAAGGGAATGTAACGGGCTCTCGGAGCGGGCGCGAGCACTTCCGGCACTGGATCAAGCGAATAACATCTCGAACCTGATCGGCCAGCAGAGGGCGTTCGACAGTGCCATGGTCCTTTTCGTCCTCGGCTTCGTGCACCGGGTTGGACGTCAAGGCCGATGGTCTGCTCTCGACGACCCGGGGCTGGTCGGAGGACATGAAGCGTCTCCTCCAGCACGGCGCTGGCGCGGGTGACTCGTCTCGGGGGTATCTGGGAGGGTTTCGGTTCGTCTCGTAGCCTCTACTTCCAAGCTGACCCTTTCCGCGTCTTTCTTCTTCTAAAGTCTCTCTTGTGGTAACCTCTCGGTGTTTCTATGCGTGCTGTCGCCAAGTGTCCAAAGCAGACAACTGTTCGTGGTGGTTTTTTCCGGTAAGCTCTTGGACGTATGAGTGGTCCAGCAGCAGGGAAGTGACGGGGGGATAGCGACCAGCGGTCATATATGCGAGATCATCAGAGCTGCAGTGGTTCCAGAAACGAGCGGATCTCATGATGCGCCTGAACGAGATCAAAAGCGGCCAGGTGAAGGGGCGCCGGCGAAGCTAGTTGACCGAGGGCCGGAGCTAGATGTTGGAGGAGTGCTGGCATGCATGTACCGGGTAGGCGTGGATAGCATACGAAGAGTACGTTTGGAGCGCGAAGTAACGATGGAATAGATTCGCAGGCAGGCGTCATACATTTAACGTCCTGTTACCAATCCGCTGGGTGTCTGAGTGGATTTGGAGGGGTGTTTCTGGGAGGGTGTGGCCGTGCAATGAGGTCAGTGAAATTCGAGAAAGATAGGTCAGGGGCCTGCGAGCAAGAGCATGAGTAGGTAGAGAGAACAGGAGCAGGGGTACTAAGACGGTGGCCACCCAATCCAATCCCAGAGACAAGAGGCCAGCCAGAGGAGATGCGAGTCGAGACCCAAGAACATCTGCACTGCTGCTGGATGAGTGGGAGGAGGCATCGGCGCGCGCGCGCGCAACATTGAGAGAAAGAAGAGAAGAGAGCCGCCCCCGGACAGCAACAGACCCGGCGGCCCATGTCGATGTTCAGGAAAAAAGTAGCTGTCAAGTACCGGTACTTTGAAGTTCCCAGGTTCTGGCGGCAGGCGACGAGGGCGCATGGGCGGGCTTTCCAAGTGCCCTGGACGGGGCCCCTTGCATCTAGGCGAATAAGGGTTTAGCGGCCTGTTGTCAGTAGACGAATCCTGGGCTAGCTGTGACGACACCGCGGGTCTGAATGGAGGGGACTGACTTTTGTCGTTCGGCTTTCCAGGTGCTCGCTCGCATTTTCCCTCAACGGCGGGCGGATCAATTGCTGGTACAAGAACGACCCAACTGCTGCTTGGGGTCAGCCACTAAGCCAATCCGTACCGACCCAACGATTGCAGTGGAGATGCAGCGTTCTGAACAAAACGCTACCGCCATCTGGGCGGGACCCAGCATGTGGTAAGTACCTTAGGTTGGTGGAAAGTTGGTGGAGAACAACACCCAAGTAAGTACCTTATGGTTGGGACGTTGGACCGTACATTACTGAACTCGGCATCTGTCTCTTCATTCCCGACCATCGCCTTCGATGTTGTCTCTTGCCGCACTGCTGCTCTACACTACTTGTCCGTGTACACATCTGTTTTGTTGATTGTTCGCCTCTTGCTGCCCCAGGAAGTCGTGATTCCAAGTGTCGAATTCCAGCACAACGGTACACTGTATGACGCCATTGAGCAGTGGAAGCCCCTCCTCCCACACACCTTGAGGCACCTAGGTATGTAAGTGAAGGTGCCTACCTAAGGCAGGTAGTGCAACGCAGCTGCTTACCTCATCCATTGAGTGAGACGTCCCTCTCTACGCCACGTGACTGCTTCGTGGACGTCCAGTAAGACACTTGTATCGGACGGCGGTCCGCCTCCGATGTGCGGCTGGCTGCCCGGGCTGCTTCTGAGGTGCTGCCGCTGCAGGCACTAGACTCTATCTCGCCGGCAAGGCGAAGTGTCAGGCGGGTGGGAGAGTGTAGCTTCGAGCAAAGAAGGTATTTTCCCTTTTCAGCACCTCGGCCAGGACATCTCCATGCGGATTACACGCAGCAAACAGACGGGCTTGGGTTTGTGGTTGTTATCATCGTTGTTGCTGTGTGTAATAAAGAAGGACGGATCTAATGCAAGGGATGAAAACCCGTTCGCCAACTTCCACCAAACTGCAGAATCAGTAATCTCGCAGCCACGGCGGAATACCACTCTCGGCATTGCCAACTCATGTGGCCGCAACCAGAGATCTCGATGCGAGCAAGCCCCAGGACCCTGACATCAGCAAGCATGGCCGTCGACACTCCCAATCCATGCCGACAAGTACCGCGACTTGGACGGTACCCGGTATTGGACGGACGCCTCTCCTCCAGCAGGGAAACCGGAGACAACACCTTGGGCCGTGGCCCGTATTCCCACACAGAAACTGCGTTTTTTCCTCTGTGTTGAGTCGGACGAAGATGCCTCTGATGAAGTGATCACAACTGCAGAAAACGATCCCGCTCCGTTCTCTTATGTCCAGCCATCGACGCTAGCCCATGCACGCACCCAGACAGCCCGTACAAGCCCAGGGTCCAGCATTTTTCGTCGCCCTGTTCGCTGCGGCGCCCACTCAGATGCACCTCGTTCCTCAGATCCAGTGCGTCATGACAGCGCTACTTTTGCCTCCGCCAACAACACCACTTGCCCTTTGTACCTTCCCTGCCTTACGTTATGCACATCCCCTCCCCGAAACGCCCTCGGGGACGAACCCAGGCAATCCCCGTGGCCCTGACAAGCGCAGTCGCTGTCGTCGCAGTCGCTCTTCTTCCTTCGACTAATGTGTCGTGTCTCGGATCTCTCAGAGCATCTGCAACACGACTTTTTTGGTCAGCTTCGGTCGTCTGATGGACCCTAGTTCCAGTTGTTAGCCCTGGTTACGGCTGATCGCAGTCCCGGACAGGAAACCAGGACGGCCTCGAGACTCTGGCTACCCCAAACCTCGACAATTATTGGTCAACGTGACCACCCTTCTCGGTCTAGGACGCCTCGAGCAGCAATCTCGATTTCAGCCTCGCCCAACCATTGTCGTGGCGCAGCGGCGCACAAGGCTACTGACGGAACGCGTACGTCTGTTTGGGGCACTAAAACGAAGCTATCACGCCCTTTCTGTTGCCACGCAACTAGCCGCCCGCGGTCCTACCGCTGTCTACAAACGCCTTGCATGCCGATGCCGCCGCGTGCGCCGTCACCTGCCTCACCACGAACTTGATAGCCTTATGGTCGCTTGCGAGGAATCCGAGTGTCCCGGCCTAACCACTGTGTATCGGCGCTGATCCATTTCTCTCAAGAATTGCTAGGTTTAGTTCGCCCCAGACTTCAGCACCACTGTAGCGCCGTCTCACGAGCACCTTACCCACAACAGCAATGCGAGACGAGCTCTTACGCAGAAACTTCTTTTGTTCCGCTGCTTCAGCCTCGCAGGCTGCCCGATATAATTTGGTTCTCACCGGACATTTTGCATGATCCCAGTCTCCGACTCAAAGCCCGAAGGCTTGCATACTGTTAGGACGTCGAGGACAGGACTAGGCTCGTTGCCTCGCTCGAGATATATTTCAACCTAGTTGTGTCGCATTCACAGCATGTACGAAGATCGTGTGGCTTATTGCCCTGGGGCGAGGGGGGCCGTGGGGGTTTGACGGAAGCTGGCATGGTTGGCTGATTGTCGTTGTAACAACATTATTATCTGTGCAACCATATCCGAGATTCGTCGTATCGACTTCGCAACTGAGCTTCCAGAATCGGGCCAGATCTTCGATTCTGGACCGGCCATTTCGACCCCATCAACCCCTCGAACCTCTCCATTCAGCCCAATCCCGCCATTTCGACCCCACTGGGTTCTCGGTTCCCCCCCCAGCAAACGCAACCTAAAAATTGAAAGCGAAGGCGGTGGCTTGTTGTCTAGCTGAGTCTGTGCGATGGGAACATGCCACATCTACGCGGCAACGCGTTCCAAACCCTTGCTTACCCTCACCGACAAGTCACAGATTAGGAAACTTGGGTTCTGCTAATTCAGCCAGCATCAGCTTCCAAACTTCCACTTCTTTTTCTTTCTCTCTCTTCGTCTTCGGTTTCCATCATCAACTCCCTTAACGTCTGGCTACCTTCGTTCAGTGATTTTCTGTCTGCTTACAGCATCGCTTGACAACGGTTTTGGTTCACCTGGTCTTCCACCTTAAATCCTGCCTCAACAATTCTTCTACCGTACCCAAACTCCCGATTCTAAATGTCAACTGAACTTCCCTCCCCCGAAGTCCGGGCCACCATCATCGAACGGCTCTCCGAGCTCATCATCGCCATCGAGGCCCACCCGGCCTGGAACCCTGAGAACCCCCACCGTGGGCTCTTTCACGTCTGGGACTTTGTCAGCAGGTCTCGGTATATCATGACCGAACTCGACCACATCCGGGATGGCGAGCCCGTGCAATACCCGGAGCAGATCCGGCAGCAATCTGGTTAGAACAGCCCCGTGGCACTAGCATACACAAAGAGGAGAAGAAAAAAGGCGGCAGGCAGTGCATCAATCCACCAGGCACCCGCACCCGCACCCGCATCCGCGCCGCCCTGCCTGCTGACCGCGCCCGCGCGGGCCATGCCGAGAGAGCAATTTTTCCCACTAACACGGGGATCCTAGGTCTGTCAACCGGCCCCGCCGCTGCCGCCGAATCATTTGCCGATGTCTGCGGCCGAGCCGTCACCGTCAATGAGTTGGTCAGCACCCCGCGTCTCCTGACCATGATGGGTCTTCCTCAGGTCGATTACGGCAGCGATGTCACCTCCAAATCCCAGGCCGTTGTTGAAGTCGTCAATCAGGCCAGGTAGCCAGCAAATCCGAGGCTCCATGAAAATAGACATTAGCAAAAGGAGGAAGCAAAATACGACGAGGGATCATTATAGAATGGTAGGCACTGGGCATTGCGCAAGACTGACACAGTTAGAGCGAGCGTCAAAGAGATGCCTAGCAAGGAATATGGAGAAAGGATATGGAGAAAGGAGGGAAAACACGGCGAAGAGGAGGGTGTAGTAATTGATTCTGTCGCGCCGTTACCTGGTGATGTGCTGACCAGAGTTGCCCAGATTAGGCTCGCGTGACGAAACAGTGCGGTTTGCCCGCATAACCAGGGCATGAGTGTCCACGATTCGGTTATGTGATGGATGCTGCGCCTTTCTCACAAGTGGCATGTTTACTGAAAGCCACTCTACTACTCGTAGTCGATATTCAAAACTTGTACCTGATATGCCCACCGTTCCGTATCCTCGACGACGCCAATCCATACAAGAAGACCACCAGCCAGCCGTAATTACGTAGAGTCCCGAAGCAAATAAATGTGATCTCTCGGCCCTCATCTAACTCCAGCCCAGCGACCCCGTGCGGTGGCTGACTTGTTGATAGCTAACCGCCTGCCAATGTTTCCAAAACAGACGCAACTGCAGAACAAGACACTCAACATCCAAATCCCCGTCTCGATGGTCTCCTGGCTTGCCAGACCGCCCAGCGTCATGGGCTCCGCGTAAGCCCTCTCAGACTCGTTCCGGTAGGTGAGGGATGAAGGGGTAGGCATCACGTCGGGGTTGATGCCCAAGAGCACCGCCGATCCCGTCACCCCAACTGCCATGGACAGCAAAAAGCCGGGTTTTGACCGGTCAATCAAATACCATAGAAATGGGTTGACGAGAGCCAAACTTAGGGATACCTGGAGGGTGGAGGCCCATGGAAGTTTACGCTGTTGGTTGTCAGTTTTCAGGTACCCAACGGTGCAGACAGAGTGACTCACAATGGCAAAAACAATACCAACAAAGGCACCGATACTCCGAACAACTAACGCCCAGTCCTTGACAGGGCTGGCGTCTTCAGGAGACGGGCTTTCCCTCTCTTCTGCTATCTCCTCTTCCTTTCCGAATGTTTCCTCCCACACACCATCGAACCAAGGGAGCAGGCCGCCGAGGACGACGCCCGACAGACCCCATAATGAAAGGTATTGCCAATTGTAACTTGGTTTTATGATGCTTTCGACCTGGAATGACGAGAATCGATGTTCGTTCTGCAACCGAGTAACCATAACACCGTATCCCATGCCAATGATGAACAGAAGGGCTATTCTGAAGGTTGTGAACAGCGTGGAGGCTGCGGTTGAGGGCGGTGGCTGCTTGGTACCACGATATGAGGAGCGCCGGCGCAGCAGAGTCGAGCGATCCTTCATGAGCTCGAATGTCGTGTCGTCCACGCTAGGGCGCTTGATGGGGGTTTGTGCCCCTGTTCCCCATGGTGTGTCTGGCTCGTCCCTCTCGTTGCCGTCGCGGCTCCCATAGGTCGTCGGAGAGTATATGCCAAATAACGTGGAGGACGTCAAGTTCATGATGGACTGCGCGCGGGGCAAGGAGCCAGAATCCGACGAAGCTTGGCCATTGTGCAATCTCGAGAAGTCAAGCTCGGGATTCGGGCCTGGGGAGGACGAGGCGTCTTCTGGGGGAGTAGGGCTTGTGTAGTTGAAGTCGAAGGGGCGGCGGGGAATGGGCCGCAACAAAGGGGGTCCGTCGTCAGACATGACGTTCGATTGAGAGGTGCTCTGCGACTGAGGCTATTAGCAGGAAGTCGATACGACTCTCACCGAGGTGGGCGCTGGGGCTTTATGAGGTGCTCACGGGAGGGATGACGGTGCGCCTTCGAGTTACCGTCAAAAATGAAATGTACGAGTAAGTCTAACTCTGCTGACCAAGGACCGGGAGGATTTTGCTGTCGTCACCGAACTACTTCGGACGAGGAGAAGATTGTCTCGTCTCACGTGGCTCAGATACGATTCTCCTCAAATCAAGATACGATGTAGGATGGCGAAGGATTGGACGAACGGAGGAGGACTAGTTATTGACGAGAAGTCCGTCGAAAGTATGTGAGACTGCAATTCGGGGACGGAGTTTCGCTGGGCAGTCGAGGGTCGACTCAGCGGCACGCGACGAGGGAGGAGTGGCGGCAGCGGTAGCTCGGAGGAGCTGATGCAGGGCGTCCTCTGCGAGATAGTGGTGCGTTGGCGAGGAGAGACGTTGCGAGTGCGGACACGACGGAAGATCTTAAGGAAGGCAGAATAAGATATGCAATTCAGAGGGGAGCGATGCTGTAGGTATGCTGATGCGTCTTGCTGACAGCAGTGCGGGCGAGTTAATGCTAGGGTGACGGGAATGAAGGAGGCGGCAACGGCATGATCTCTTAGAGGTCAGTTCGCGGAGACTACGAGCTATCGGCGTCGGGACCCGTATCCCGCGGCAGCCACCGCAGTACCAGGTTGCTACGACTGCCACTTTTCTGCGTGCGTGCTTCGTGCTATGTGCAATCGCTTATGGCACGTTTCTCGGACGGAGAGGGGAGACAAGCCGGTAAAACAGATGCGGGCGACGCGAAAGAGAGAGGGGGGGATTTCGGCGTGGTGGTGGTGTGGTCTCCGCGCTGTGTGGCTTGGGTGTTCCCGGCAGCAGCAGGTAATGTATTCCGGAGCGGAGGAGTCGTTGCAGCAACACAATGCCGTAACTGTGCAGGAAGAAGGGGGACGGGAATAACCAGAAAGGAGGGGTTCTTCGCGGATGGCCTGGACTCGACTCGACTGGAGGATGGAACTTGGAAAGAGAGAACGGGAGGGACGGGCGAGGAAAAGAGAAATATTCACATGTCTGGCTTTGTAGGTTTGCACGAATAGTGTTCCAGCTCTACTATGTAGGCCCACTATAAGGTGCCTACCCTGCAACTCGTCAGTTCCATTTGATGGTACGGCACCCGCAGCAGCTCAGTTCCATTGCATCCATAGGTTTACTGCAGTTAACACAACACAACATAACAAGCCCGAAGACAGACATACCTGCAGCTGCAGCGAGACACCAAAGGACTCGACCAGACTCAACGAATCCTCCCCTCTGCAAGTTCCCTTGGGCGAAAAGACTGAACAGGCAAAGATTCCCCCCTTAGCTGCTGGTTGGAGGCTGGAGGCTGGAGGCTGGAGGCTGGAGCTAGGGGACTGGCGCCAAGGCGCAGCTGCATGCAATGGGATTGTCTCCGGTGGAGCCACATGACTGGTGCACGCCAGATTGGGTCCTGAAATGACATTCTTGGCCACCTGATTCGCCGCTACCCCACACTCTGCTAGCCCGCTCCCCCCCTCCAGCGTCCGTCCCCTCCGTTCCCTTGAGCAACCAGCCGGGTTCCTTGGTGTGTTTTCTTTCCCCTTCACAATAACTACCTACCTAACTTTGCAAAGCTGACTTTAAACCACCAGTCCCTTGTCCCCGTGACTACAACATTGACGGCGACGAATTATCCCTTGCCTCATACTCAAGGTCCATGCCTCAAGGTTGTCGACAGATGAATCTGCGAATACGCACGTCCGAACAAGTCTCAGGTCAGACGGGAGAGAGAGATTGAGACGGAACCAGTCAGCCAACTAGTTTGCCCGTCCCCGTCGGTTCCTGAATGTGAGCTGTCCGCGTATTTAGCCCCTCAATGCGCAAGGCCCCTGCGAGCGTTGAGAAAATAAACGGGGACGGTAAGCATCATACCTTTTTGAAGAAGAGAAAAAAACCTTCACCGCTAGAGGAGAAAAGACCCTTCGAACGGGACTCTAATAATACTCATCTCAGATCTGCAGCCAACGCCCAGAAACAAACACGAAGGACGAGCGGGAACTGGCGGCAGCCCTGCTCCCCGCCGGGTTCTAGTGCAGAGGTAGTCATTGCCTCGTCGCGCTCCCTCATTCAACGGCCCGGGCAAAGGCATCTCAGGAATGTCAGTGTCTCCTCCTCTATGCATTACGCACATCGTAAAACCCGCCCGCACAGACTGCCCTGCACGTGAACCTCCCACAGTTGTATTGCACACTAGACGGCGCCTCTTCGTCTCAACCAGAGACAAACGTGCTACCCCGTCTGTGGCCTACATACGCATGTGTGGTATGCGCTATCTTGCCAAGCCTGCGTTTGCCCTAAACTGCTCGTTTCTCTTCCCTCGTCAGCCCTGGCGAGCGCGCATCTGTCTTAACTGTAGTCTTCAACATCGGGGTCAGCATCGAATCCCCCAGAGCCTTTGGAGATGGGTAACTGTGCAAACCAGTGTGCATTAAAACGCCGCACTGGCAGCTCCATGTCCGCGGACTCTCCAAGGCTTTCAGCGTTCAACTGCAGGCACTCGTGCGCCAGAAACACAGCTGGGAAGAGCATGCCACCTGCAGACTGATGCGAGACACTCTCAACGCCGATCAGCGGGACTCCCGCACGAGCCAATCTTCTGACGCCGTGCCGGCCGACGGTCGTTCGGACCCATTCTTCCCTCCGTCACCTCATCGCGTCGTGCCGGCTAGGCAAGTCGTGCACCCAAGTCCGAAAAGACAGATTGACGCAAGTCTTGAATTGATTTATTATTCTCATCCAAATCACATAGCTACGTGCAACTACTCGTCTTCCTCGTCCTCGGAATCCTCAGAGTCCTCCTCGGCTTCGTCTTCGCTCTCCTCCACTCCCTCCGGCCGGGGTATCATCGTAAACGCTGCCATGCATGTGATGCGGTTTTGTGTGTCGTAGGTTCCCAATGTTCTGCCTACTTGCTTGCCTTTTCCTGCAACAAGCTCCTTCACGCCGACCTTCCAAATTCGTACCTTGCCGTCGCTGCTGGCTCCAATTACAATCAAAGCTGTCGAGTCCTTTTCCTTCGTCTCCAATACGGCCATCGTCTTGATGCGGCCCGAGACACCTGCCTCCTTGCCGCCGACTTGGCCAATCAGCTTGGCTGTAGATAGCTTTCCCTCCTCGTCGGCCTTGTTCAGGTCACTCTCCTTGGTAGAGAAGAACAGGACGCGGCCATCCTCAGTCGATACAGCCAAGAAGCTCTCTTCCTTCTCGCCCTCAACAGGAACATAGAAAACTTCGTGGATCTTGGTTCGGGGCTCCGGCATGACGCGGCACTTGATTTCGCAATTCATGCCAAATACGGCGATATCACGATCGAAGCCGACCGCAAACTCTTGCTCATCGTCCGCCGAACCCCAGACCACCTTGCGAGCCTCACCAGTCGAATGCCTTCCTTCTCCGAGCTGTTGCAAGTGCTCTCGACTGAACTCCAAGACAGATGATTTCTTGCCAGTTACCAGGTTCCACAACCGCATCTTCTTCTCGCCCTTACTGACACTGATCATCAACTTCATACTGGGATGGATGGCGAAATCGTTGATGCCAGAAGGCGTTCCGCCGAAAGGAGCAGTGTCACCACTGGGCCTGCCCATCACCTTGGGCTTGGGCGCCTTAACGGTCGACAAAACAGACCAATCTCTTGTCCTTGTGATGGCGATTGTCGAGTCCTCACTTGAAGAAAGTAGCTTAGACCTCGTAGGAAACACCAGCTTGGTGATGCTCGATGTGTGATGCAATAACGTGCCCAATTCGCGATTCTTGGGGTTTTCGAGGATAGGGCGGGGAGCAACGGACGAGAGAAGCTCCTGGCTTTTCCGGGTCGGAGGATGCGCAGATAGGTTGTACAGATTGACTCGTTCGTCGGTGCTTCCTGATGCCAGCAGGACCTTTTGGCTCTGGCCGGGAATGGGAGCTGAAATAGGCGACAAGGCAACGGCGCGGATTGCAGATGTATGTGCGCTGAAGAGGAATGTGTCGGCAAAATCGACCGTCCCCTCAGGCTTGATAGTAGCGGTGATACCGTGCAGAACGCGATCGTACGAACCGGCCACAATCTGGATTGTCAACTCCTCGGCCGAATCGTCTTCTTTCGAAGCAGAGCCGTTCGCGGTTGGTTTGGCTTTCTTCGCAGGCGCAGCGCCCTTCGTAAGAGGCGCGCTCGCTCTTTCGACTCTCTTTCTTTTGCCAGCCATTTCTGTTGTCTTTCGCGGTCGTCCGTTTAAGAATTTGGAAGGTTCTTGGGGCCGTCGTTAGATCAGATTAAAAGGGGGAAAAAGGTTGCGACGCTTCTCAGATGCAGCAGGCAGCTCGAGCCTCTCGAGAGAAATCCAAAAAAAAAAAAATTCGGCTTTGGCGCAAGGTCTTATCGCTATCGCGTATCGATAAGTTAAACTGACAACGATCTTCCCCCCACCAGCGGAATCTGGATCTCGGCTGACCGTTTTCAGTTGTTGAGATGAGAAAAGCCCACCTTTGCCCGGTTGGTGCATGAACACTCAGGTGGTGCCGTCTGGTGAGGACTGTCAAGTAGCTGCAGCCCAACCAATGATTTGAACGGTGGTGCATGGCATTTATCCGACACTTCCCCGACTGATGCATTGCGAAACATGCAACTGTGAACAGGGTGTGCCAGGGTCTTGGGTTAGCTTCTCAAAGCCTTATGCCAGCGCTCCACCACTAACAGCGGCTGATGGACTCTCCGTACCTACCTGACCTACCTTATGCACCGCGTGCTGCCTACTATCTACAACTCTTAGTACACATGTCCGACTTCAGGGCCAGCTTGATGGCAACCTAGAATCAAATCATCAAAGACGCCCACATCCGCCATCGATGCCCAAGAATGGCTTAACTGTGCCTCGACCGGGTCGCATCTACGAGTCAATGTCACCGTCGCTCCTCTCATCGAATCCACTAGCTCCATCACCCTCACCGTACTCGACCGCCTGCCAACCCTACACCTACCCTGTCTTGACTACGTCGGGCGGCGACAACCTCTTCTCCTAGCCGACGACCACTACCGCAAGTCCATCCTGTCGATATGGCATCCTATGGCCATCACATGCCCGCAGCGGCACCTCGAGCTGCCCATCCTGCCACCTATGGCGCCCCAATGCCTGCCCCCGTGCCTACCGCCCCTGCGGGCACTTTCGCTCCCGGAACGAAGATACAAGTTGGAAACCACAGGGTGGTGATTCAGAAATATCTCTCCGAGGGAGGGTTTGCCCACGTATATCTGGTCAAGCTCCCGAAGCCCATCGACGGCACAGACATGGCTGTCTTGAAGAGAGTGGCTGTCCCCGATAAGGAGGCGCTGCGGAGCATGCGAACCGAGGTCGAAACCATGAAGAGGCTCAAGGGTCATCGCCCAATCGTTACATACATCGATTCTCACGCCTCTGAGATGCGTGGCGGCGGTTATGAAGTCTTCCTCCTCATGGAATTCTGCGATGGGGGCGGTTTGATCGATTTCATGAACACACGTCTTCAGCATCGCTTGACCGAGCCCGAGATCCTCCACATCTTCACAGACATCGCCGAGGGCGTCGCCTGCATGCACTACCTCAAGCCACCTCTCCTTCACCGTGACTTGAAGGTCGAAAACGTGCTCATCGTCAGCCATGGCTCCCAGAAAAAGTTCAAGGTCTGCGATTTTGGATCTGCTGCTCCGCCGAAACCCGCGCCGCAAACCGTCGTCGAATGCAGGCTCATGGACGAGGACGTACAAAAACACACCACCATGCAATACAGGAGTCCCGAGATGATTGATGTCTACCGCAAACTTCCCATCGACGAAAAATCTGACATTTGGGCCTTGGGTGTGCTGTTGTACAAGTTGTGCTACTACACTACCCCGTTCGAGGACCAGGGGCAGCTGGCTATCCTCAACGCAAGTTATAGATTCCCTAGTTATCCAGTCTTTTCGGATCGCCTCAAGAAGTTGATTGGTAAGTCCCCAAGACCTGGGCCGAAATCCACGCTTAACAAGAGACAGCTTCCATGCTGCGTGAGAGCCCCGCAGCTAGACCGAACATCTATCAGGTTCTGCGCGAAGGCTGCGCCATGCAGGGTCGCGACGTCCCTATACACGACGTAGGTTATTCCATGAAACCCTCCAACGAGTAGCTCACTGAGGATGGCATAGATCTACACCGGAAAGCAACGTTCGGAGCCACAAAGCAGACCTGCCGCAACTGAGCCTGCGGGGGCCAAGCCAGTAGTCGGCGCCGTGTTTGCCCCGGCGAAGCAAGAGGAGCAAGTTCTCCCGGACATTGTGCCCATGAGGAGAGGCAGACTTCCGGCGTCCAGCCAACAGCCTCAGGCGCAGGCCCAGCAAGCGGCAAAGCCAAGCCCGTCTCCCATGCGCGTCACCAATGGGGACCCATTCGCTGCTCTAGACACACCAGCTGCGGCAACGGCGGCGGCTGCTGCTGCTACTCCTGCGGCAGATGTCGATGAATTTTCATCTCGGTTCCCATCTTTGGATCAGTTTTCTCTTCTCCATGAGTCTGGATCCAAATTCAACTTTGACTCCCACACCCCCCCTGCAACGCAGCAGCAGCAGCGAAGCCAGGCCCAGCGACCCGCTGAGAAGCCCGTTGACGCGGCGTTTCCAGCTGCGCACTCGCCCCCGAAGAACCAGGAGCCAGTTCGTCCGAGGACAGTTGCGCCAACGGGAGCTTCTTCTTACACACCTCCGACGGTGAAGTCTCCTCCACCGGGAGCCGTGGGCTTGACAAAAACTGCCTCGGCTCCTACACAGCAAGCCGAGATGAGCAGAGCGCATGCAATTATCAACAAGAACCCTGAGCTGCAAGCTATTTCGTCTCACTCCCAGGCCCACGCTCGTGCCCAAAACCCGTATCAGGCACCGCCATCGAGATACGTGTCGACTGGCACAATGACAAATACGCCGCCTCCGGAGCAGCAGCAAGCCCGTGAGCCAGGACCTATATGGCGAGTACCTACGACAGACCCCAGTCGGTCAACGAGCCTTCCTCGTCAGTCCGAATCGAGCCTTCCTAGCCGTTCAGCAGCGGACGATCCAGTTCCTGGGTCTATTCCACGGGTCCCTTCATACCAATTTCGGCCGAACCACGTGCGGCATCCATCATCATCTCGTCCGTCCCTTGAGGGCGGACGCCCAAGCCTGGATCTCCTTGACTCAAGCGCCCAAAGAAGATCCATTGACGGCCGCCAGCGTCCAGTGAGCACACACCTGGAGTCGAACCTGGATTTTCTTCGCGAGAAGGAAGGGTCCTCAAAGCCATTACCCTCTCCGGGCTTGATGTCTCCAAAGTTCCCGGATAGAGTGCCATCTCCTGCGACGCCCACGGAGCCGGAGCAGGAGGAAGCGCACATCGAATCAAATGTAGAGTTCCTGCGCAGCATGGAAGAGACCAAATCAGAGAGGAAGGAGTGGGGCGCGAAGCATGGCAAGCGCGGAAGTCTGAGCTCGCTCTCTGGAACTAAGAACATCTTGGCTGGGAAGTTTGGAGATGCATTCAAGCGGTTTGAAGGAAACCAGGCTCCGGCGCCCGCCCGAACGCCGTCACCGCTCAAGCAACTAGATCGCCCGACACTCACCCCAATCGAGGGTTCAGAGGCTACCGATGGCCGTACTGATGACGGCAAGGGCATGGAGGAGACTGAAGACATGACTCCCGCCATGCGACGAGAGCTCGAACGGCTCCGGCTTGAGGAGGAAGAGCGCCGTGTCGAAGCAGCAGCAGCAGAATACCGCCAACGATTCACCAATCAGAGTTCAGGTCCCGGCGGGCTGCCGAAGAGCATTGGCGGCGTTTCTCGAGCCGTCAGCATTCAGAACAGAGTGCAAAATCTGTTGAATGAAGGCCAGAAGTCCTCGACGCAGGTTCCTCGTACCGCACAAGGCTACGGAGTCTACACCGACAACTCTCCAGCCCCAAACCGACTGGATAAGCAGCTTCCTGAGATTCCCCGGAAGCCGGTTGGCGGCGCTAAATCTCGATCCGTGACACCCTCCAACGCTCAAGATGTCGCCGTCCACAAAGTGCGGCCGTCTGCCAGCGATCCTGTCTCACAAACGGGGCGAAGCACTCCTGGGCCGAGGCCAGTGGCACCGCGTAAGCCGATGCACCTAAATAGCTTGCCGACCGGTGGCCGGTCAGGCTCGCCACCGAAATCATCACAGGCCCCCTCGATGTCCTCCGACCACCTTGTTGGCGTAGGACTCCCCGGTCGGCCAGTGATAGAAATGTCGGCCAGAGAGAAGGAGGATTATTTGCAAGACTTCTCGAAGCGATTCCCTAGCTTGGGCTCTATCGAGATGGTTGAACGTGACCTCGCAGCGGAGGCGGGCGAGCAGCGACCGGCAAGGTAAAAACACCTCGCATTTTGCATCTGTGGCTACGCACGACAGCGAAGCCGACGTAGACGGGCGAGTTGGGCTAGACTTGAATATACACACACTGATCAGCAAGCGTATAAACTGTCAACTTAAGTGTGCACACAATGTTTTACTGAGGACAAGAACATACACTTGGTCATGCTCGGATAGACCATGCTGAAGACAGTTGGGCTCATCTTTCTTGTATATACGATTGTAGAACACTGTTTCAACGCGACTTGTCCAATTGAGGACCCAGGCACGTGTTTTTCGATCGTGATGGATGCCGAGATAGTCCTCGTACTCTAAACAGCAATGCTGGATCAAAGGAAACAATGAACGATTGGTATCTTTGGATTGAAATAACACTAATATTTTTGTAAAAATCCGACTCATTAGACTCGTAGTCTTGTCCCTTCTCTCCTTTTACACTCACGCAATTCGCCTTTTCTTTCGGCTTGTCGGTCAAGGGCGAAAACTGCATACACGGCTCGCCACTGAATTCGATAGACCATTCGCTGTTGAGCTAGAACAGAGCGCGGGCAACCCGTCGGGGGAGGTTGGCCCACGTCTTCTCGGGCATGGGCTCGTCGCTGGGTTCCTGGAGGCGGACGCCCGACTTGAGGTCGATGTCCTTGAGCGGCACGTACATGCTAGTGTCGCGAGAGATGACCTTCCAGAGCAGGTACAGGAAGATGACGATGGGAGCCGCGAGGTACTGGGTGAAAAAGGCCTCGGCATCGGGGGTGGCGTCAGGGGAGGGCTGATGGTTTGTTAATATACTGCTGGATCACTCAGTAATATACTGTTGGATCACTCAGGGGCTACGGAAAGACTTACGTATAGAGCGTTATAGAAGGTGGCGATGAGGCAGATGAAGTTCAGGCCCAGGCCGATGACACTACCCCAGATGCCAAGAGGCACCTTGTACGGGATCTGCTCAAGAGTGTAGCCCTGCAGCTTCCAGGCCAGACGCATGCGGATGTGGGCCAGGCAGATGGAGCCCCAAACGAAGAAGTAGGACAGACCGGAGAGGGCGAGGAGCCAGCCAAAGACGGTGCTGCTGTCGGCCGACTCGCCTATGAAGGCCAGCAGACCGAAGGCGAGCTGGATGAGGACGCACCAGATGGGCCGACCCGCCTTGTCAACATAGGCGAGGACGCGGGGGGCCATGCCACGCTCGGCCATAGCCTGCATCGTGCGGGTGGATCCAAACGTGCAAGAGTTGGCGACGCTAATGACGGAGATGGTAATGACGGCGTTGAAGATGGAGGGGAGAACGTTGATACCGGCGTCCTGGATGGCGAGGACGAAGGGAGATGCCTTGGTGTTAGCGCCAGAGGAGCCCATGAGACGGGGGTCGTTGGCGGGGACGATGAGGCCGAGGATAAAGAGGTTGACGATGTAGAAGAAGGCGATACGCCAGAAGACCTGCTTGGAGGCAGTGGGAATGGCCTTTCGAGGGTTCGTGGACTCGGCAGCAGCCAGACCGACGAGCTCGGTGCCGCCAAAAGCAAAAGCAGCAACGACGAAGACGCCAGCGAAACCGTTGAAGCCGTTCTGGAAGGCGCCCGGGTCGTGCCAGTACTTGGCACCGAGATAGCCCTTGTCACCGACGCCGCCGCAGTTGATGACGATGCCGAGAACGATGAAGCCCGTGCAAGCCGCGATCTTGATGATGGAGAGGATGAACTCGACTTCACCATAGCCGCGGACACCAAAGATTTGAATGATTGCGAGTAGGACGAGGAAGACTGTGACCCAGACACCCATGTTGATGTCGTCACGCCAGAACTTGATTGTGATACTTGCTGCGACGAGTTCGAAGGGAAGAACGGTGAGCCAAGCGATGGCATAATCCCAGCCCATGGCGAAGCCCCTGGATGTTTGTTAGTCTAGCTATGGTGAATGGGAGATGGAACGTACCAGGATGGGTCGACGAAGCGGCAGACGTAGGTGAAGAAGGCACCGTTGACCGGATAGAGGACAGCCATTTCAGCGAGGGCCTGGGTCGTGAACATCAACATGATTCCGACAATCATGTAGCCGATGACCTAGAGCCTCTATGTTAGATGCGAGCCTATTCGAAATGTATGTTCTAAGCCCATACCAAAGCGGCCGGACCACCAGTTCGCAGAGCACCACCAGAACCGACGAAGAGACCTGCTCCAATAGCACCACCTATCCAGAGCGTTAGTATCTGCACAAGCGGAGCTTTGTTAGCAGTGAGACTGACCGATGGCGATCATCTGCATGTGGCGACTGCGTAGGTTGCGCTGAAGGGGCTCGCCCTTGGTGACAACGCCGACCTCCTCATCGTGGGATCCCTTATAGCCATTTTGGCTATCCATCACGGGATCCTTGGCGTAGTGCTTCTCGTCGTCGACGACGGGTTGGGAAGACATGACGGCGAACCGGTATCAGATGATGCCACCTCCTCAGAATGGTTGTTGGGCACTGCGAAGAAGGACGAACCGGGCACGCTTCATCCAAGCTTTCTGGGGGTGCCAAGAGGTCCCTGATATATACCCCCTAGATCGAGCAGGTCAGCTCGTCTGAGGGCTGGGAAATGACCTCTGATACGGGACACATAGACTACCGACTACCACAGGGCCCCGTAGTCTGCAAAGAGCATTCCCAGGACCATGGGGACAGGCCATTCTACTCCCCCGGGTTCGCCGCTGCGTTAGTCCCCTTGGGACTGTTACGCTCACGCGCGGCAGGATGATTCGTACGGACTAGACCCTTGACACGTCGAATGGGGAACGAAGGTAGACGAGACAAGCTTTCGTCCACGATAAGACCAAAGCTCATTCCCCCAGGTACACTAGAAACCAATACAGTGGTCCCGGGCGACGGGGGAGCCAGGCCTGGGGTGGTCCCATTGTCACCCGGCGCGGCATGCGTATGGCTAGACAAGGACATGGGATGAAGTTGAGGTTAGCTTCATTCGGCCAAAGATACCACAACGACCCAAAGAATGGCGATGGTGGTGGCAGCTCGTTTGGTGTTTGGGGTTAGGTGGAGGGGAGCGTCGCCGACTGGGTCAAGTCGGCATGATATCTTGGCTTTCTCGGCGATACTCTGGGGTGTCTCTTCCCCCGGCGCACCTCCACCTCTTCCAACAGGCCGGCCATCCCCTGCTCTATGCCCCTGCTCGTTGATAAGACTGCTGGCTCACTGATGCGCACTTGCACGGCAGCAGAGTTTAGTTACAGATAAGGCAGGTGTTGAAGGTTCGGGTTTTACACGAAAGTAATGTCGGAAGAACTGCTTCTGCGTGTTTGATACCTGGTCTTATCCAAATTTTGCCCTCATCTTTGCAGTCTGGGCTTTGCGTGATGTAATATTTGGGAGAAGTAGAGACGAGACGAACGCTGTCTTTCTTTCCTTCTCCCGTTTTATTACTTTTGATAGATGGGGTTGACGCAGCGTCCGGGTTCATGCTGAGAGTGACAAAATGGCGGCGTTGGTGTCTAGTAAGGAAAGGGTTAGATGCTCCGAAGGTCTCAAAGAGTCGCACCCGGGGGCGATAACGCTCAGCACGCGATGCCCAGTGCGCCGACGACGCCTCCCGGGTGGCCGCCACTATCTGGGATAATTGCCGCATGCTAGACGCTGGTCCTTCTTCGATTTGTTCTAGAATGCTGCTCGGTGGCGTGCGGCAGGACTTCTGAAGGGGGGCGGGAAGGAATGGACGGTTGGTGGTGGTTGAATTGCGGATGGCCGCGTAGCGTCCCCGATGCAAACTGACATGGCGCCATGATCTGACTCGGGGCAACCTGGCTAGCAAGCGTACTCAACTACCTCTGATTGTAATTTGGAATCCATTTGACAGGCGGTGGGGAGACAGACTATCGAGAGTGCTAAAGGCAACAACAGACTGGGAGCTTGTCCTCGATCTTCCGTCAATTGCGACTGAGGGGATCGTCACATGAAGTCCTCAATTCCCCGCTGCGCCGAGAGAAACCAAGCTTTTGCAGCAATACGGGTCTGATACAATCATTGGCTCGATCCAGGGCCAAGAGGCCGGGGGATCTGTAGTCGCTCTTGGCCTCTAGTGCTTCTCCCAACGTCCATCCACCGCCCCCAACGTCGCCCGAGAGACTTGTTCCAGACTTGGTGCTTCCTCTATGGGTGGTATTACTCAACACCCCCCTTGCCGAGATGCCGCGACCATGAGTGTCTGCCCAAGCGAGCCACCTGAACAGAAGGATGAAGCGTAATGTTATGTTCGGGTTCCCATGTACACCCTCATCCGGAATAGGAATGTGATTTTACTCAGAATTCGCTCGCCAGCCCGCTGCTTTGATTACTATGCCCATGACCTCGTGGAACGATGGCCTCGCAAAGATGCGGGGAAGTTGTAGTCATGATATTGTTTTCCCGTCTGTCCAGGCATATGCCTGTTCGTCGAATTTCGAACAGAACCAGGTTGAACAGAACCAGGTTGGTGGAACCGTTGATCTATGCGCGATTCCCACCGACTGAATAGACGCTCGGTTGCCGGAAGAAATACAACGAGAGCAATAGCGGACAAATCAATTTCTTCAACTATCTCCTATCAGGGCTAAAGATTGATCTGCTGATAGCTATTCCCTGCTATCGCAGAGCTCGGACTCGTCGACAGGTGAACCCCCGCGCGTCAGCGTGACAACCGGCTGCGCGTACGCACTGCAGCCGGGCGTCAAGAAGCGCCGGAATGCTACCTGTTTGCTTCGCCTGCGACTCTTCTCGCCTTGCCGAAGAAGCTTCGCATTCAGCTCTCACACCTTCAGCTCGAGACCAAGCAAGCAGGCGAACGGCAGCATAAATTCGCATTATCCCGACATCCAGCTCGTCCTCACACACACTAGAACTCTTCTAGTGACCTTCTAGCTGCCGCAATTTGCATACCGCCATCCCTCGTGAACACATGCTCACGATGCAAACAGACTGATATTTCACTGGGCCCCTGGGTAATCGGGCAAGAACGCTGGCGAGCCGATATTAGTGGCCGAAGCTACAATGCCAAGTCCAGTAATACGTCTTTCCAAAGCAACAGACATGGATGAAGCATCTCAGCCCAACGTAGGCAGTGGGGCGAATGTGTAACCCTCGAGCTGGGGCGTTTGCAGCGGTTGGATATGCCCTTGCTGATACCGAACAAACCAGACGGCGTCAGGGTTGATCACTTCCAACGCTTGGCATGCCTCATGGTTCTTCTCGAGGTCGTCTGCCAAAAGCTCCAGGAACTCATCGAAGATTGCTTCCTCAATGCGAACATGAGACGCAATTGCTATCAACAGGCGGTTAGCAGCCTCCCAGATCTGTGCTGCCTGAGAAAATTTGCCTAGTCCGCCGGATACCGAGCTGGTGGCCACGTCAAGAGATTGTTGGCCCAGCAGATCGTTGCCAGAGCGGATGGGGATGATGATTCCCTGACTCGCAGACGCTGCCGTATTGCCTGACTTGTTGGTATCTTGATAAGACCTGCTCTGATTCTGGAAGCGGCGTGCTTCCGTCTTTTTGGCCCTGCACCATTTGCCCAGCCCGTCCCACCATTCTGTCTTGATTCTGGAGCTCAAAAAGTCTCCAGCAGTGGCGCATAGCATAGACAGAGTGTCGCACGCTGAGATGGCTACGAAAGCTTCCTGATCGTACATTCTGCTTTTGACAACCGGCCAGACGGCATTGATGAGGGGCAAGAACGAGTCCTCGTCGCCCGAGAGTGCAGGAGACACGGTCGTCAAGAGGTCCAGCAAAGATTTGCGCAGGGTAGGACTGGGAGAGGTAAGGTAATGCTGGGTCAAGGTTGTGATCTTTTCGAGAAGCGCGTAGGTCGGCGTCTTTGGTGGTTTCTCCTTGTCAATCTGGCTATCCGCCTCATCCACATCCTCGGGGCCTTTGTCTCCTTGGATCTTTTCCGGACCCCAAGGCTGTTGCGGATGCGATGAATTGAATTCTTCCACGTCTGCATCTTCCTCTGCTCTCTTCTCCCGTTCTTGTCGCCTTCTCAGCAAGTTGATAATATCGGCGATCGTGGTGGGCTTGGCGGCGACTTTCTTGTGGCTGTCAGGGCCATTCTGTCGGCCTTCGAGTAGGAGTTTGTCTGATTTTGCGCCTTGGGTGACGACCTCTTTGAGGACTGAAAATAGGCTCTCCACGAAGATGGGATACCCGTGGTAGTTGTCCAATGCCGCAAAAATGGACGCCACCACGTCATCTAGATATGGAAGCAGTCGCGGACCAGTCAAGCTAGTCATCATCACCAAGACCTTCGTGGACGCCGGTGTAATGTCCAACGTGTTGAGACGTAAAGAAACTGAATTGATCATGTAGTCGGCATTCTCGATGACGAGGTCGGACACGCTCTTGTACCCACAGGAAGCGGCCAGAATGTTCAGTGTTGTAATAGCGTGACCTCTCAGCCGATCACTTGTCGAGCCCAAAAATGTCGTGATGGGGTATAGTACGTCAATGAGCTCTGGCCTGAAGGCTTCTCCTGATCTTGACGCAGCAAACGCAGTGACCTCGAGTGCGGTTGCCTCCAACCTCCAGTCTAATTCAGATAGCTCTGAGTGGGAGTCAAGAACCATAACAGCAGAGGTGTACAGTTCCTGGAAGACCGCATCGGCCTCGTCGCCTGCCGGATTTAGCGAAGAGAAGTCCAGCAGGTCGTCCAAGTCGCCAGAGCGCGACAGGGCCGCTTTGAGAAGCTCGAAGCTCAGCCAGATTGAAGCTGTCTGTGCATCGCCAGTTGCATCTCGAGCGAAGTCCAACATCTCCGCTGCAATTTTGGCTTGCTGTGATGCTGGTCCGACTTGAGACAACAAATCGAGCATCGATGATCGCGTGCCTACCTGGCTGTCTTGAGATAACAGAACGTTCTGATACTGCTTGGAACTCGCTTCTGCCTTGGCAATATCTTGGCTATACCACGAAGAATCCGCTGAAACCAGATCCATAACTTTGCCTTGTTTGGTATCGCTCACGAGAGAGGTTACGCTATCTCTCAGGGCCGCGGCGATGGACTCATCAAGAAGCGACGAATCCAGCTGAAGGCTGCTCACCATGGACATTCCCTTTCTTAAATTCTGGATGGCAGCTTGTTTGTTCAACTCGTCAGCGGATTGCATGATCCTAGGAAAGCTTGTGATCCAATTGTAGCATGTGACCTTGACAATTTCTCCGATCTCAGGGTACAAGATTGCCAGGTCATGTAAACTCGTTGCCAAAAGTGACTGGACTTGGTCGGCTGGAGATAGAACCATTGCTGTTTCAACAAGAATTGAAGCGCAATTTTCTAGCGAGGTATGACACTCGTCAAGAAGGCCGAGTGACAATGCTAGTAGTGCCTCGTGTACATCCTCGGAGTCGTGATTGCGTAGCTTTAATACAGTTGCCATGGCCAGCTTGACTTGAGAAGCGGTTGCATTGAGCCACGATGAGCTCAATATCTGTGCTTTCTCCGCCTGGGACTGTTCCTGAGGGTTCGGTTTGGCGACTATGCTTCGAGTCTTGACATCGCCTAGAACCTGTATTAGAACCAGTTTCAAGCATTGAACTGACGCCACGAGGGCACGAGTCTTTTCTCTCTGGGGCTTGGCAAGAAGTTTTGTCAACGAGGAGACAACGCCGGGAAGGAACGAAGCTAGAGCAGCATGGTCCCTGATACCGGTGTAGAAGCAGCTGAGGGTTCGGAGGGCTTCGAGCTGAATCGCCGACGTCCTTCCGTTATTAACGCAGTCGAGAAGAATAGTGATGGTATGTCCAAGAGTAGGCACCATTTTCTCTTCGGTTAGGGCCGCCGCGGCCTTGACGGACGACCCGGTCACCGTGATTAGGGCGGTCAAAGCCCTCAACGATTCAAGCTCGGTCTCCTCGGGAAGATCGCGTATTTCTTCCCTGCCCGGAACTCCTCCAATGACGAAAGTGAGCAGGATCAGAAGTTGTTGCATGATGTCGGGCGAGATGTTTGACTTCCAGCCGTGGATGATGATGATGGTCAAACACTTGATTGAGAGTTCCACAAGGCGCTTGGGGTATTTGTCCTGATTTCTAAATATATGGGAGAGCGGGAAGAAAACGTAATCAGCGAGTTTCTCGTCCATGACTGTGGAATCTCTGTTGATTTGGTCATTGAGAATGCAGAAAAGTTCGGTGGCCAGTTCTGTGAGGCGCTGAAAGGATGATGGTCCCTCCGGAGGCCGGATGGCCAACTGGCTGATCGAAACACAGCATGGCTTGAGCTATGAGTACGTATTAGCCCCTTGATCGCGGAAGTATTTACGGGTGCGAACCTGTTGGAAGAACTCATTTCGGGCCGGGGTCGAGTTTCCGGAGGCGGTCGCCATGATGAGGATATTTCATCACAGTCAGGAAACGATGCCTCGGTTCCTGCACTCCAGGGCTTCCTAACTTATCAATCTCTGAGAGAGCTCCTCATATAATCAAGTGACCGAATGAAGGTAGTTGGGCGCGCATGAATATGTGGATGTAGTTGGGATGCGAGCCGCATTGTGCTCTTGAAGCTTAGTGATGTTTCGCAGTTCAGGTTGGGAGACGATGATAGAAGCAAACACAGGATGCGAAGCAGGCGGGCCAATCGGGAGGCTGCCATGTGGGGCATTCCCAGTCAGGTAGGCATCCATCAGTGGCCACTGCGTTTTCAGCGCCCTGTAAGAACATTGGAAGCTCCACTAAGGCACCTAGGGAAATCCAAGGTATTTAGGTGCCTAAGTACCTACATCAACACGACACATCTCATTGCAAGTCTTGCGGTTTTGACTGGCTGTGTTGTTTTCCATAAGAGCTCCTGATTTATCTTGTGATATCCTATTCAAATTTTGCACAGGCCATGGCTTCAGGAACGTTCTCTTGCGTCGTGCACCCTTACGACTCACTAACTTCCAACGCCACCGCCTACGAGATAGGGCCGTCAGGCTCGAATGCCATAATCTTTGTTGGCGGCCTCGGAGATGGGCCTCACACCGTTTCTTATACTCAAACTATAGCCAGGAACCTTGAGGCCAAGAGTCTGGACTGGTCTGTCTTCGAGATCAGGATGAGGAGCTCGTTTACGGGGTACGGTTATTCGAGCCTGAAGAATGATGTCGAGGACATTTCGGCCCTCGTAAGATATCTCCGAGGTATCGGAAAGAAGAAGATTGTCCTCATGGGACACTCGACCGGGTGCCAGGTGCGCAGGCCATCTTGAGATTGATAACAGTCGAAACTTCAGCTCACGTCTTTAGGATTCCGTCGAATACACCAAGCACAAGGAGGATCCCGTCGACGGGTTCATCCTCCAGGGCCCGGCATCAGACAGAGAGAGTATTGCCGACTTCATCACACCGGAGCTGTACAAGAAGGGCGTGGATCTTGCAGAGAAAATGATTGCAGAGGGTAAGGCGGGCGAGGCCATGCCTACAGACCACCTGCCGTCCTTGTTTGATACGCCCATCACGGCATACCGTTGGCATGCGCTGGCGGCCAAGGGGTAAGCCACCACCCAACTTTTGGTGACGGTCGATGCTGACTTATCCCAGGGGCGATGATGACTACTTCTCATCTGATCTCGACGAGTCCTTCGTGTCTTCGGTCTGGCAGAGGTTCGAGCAACCGGTGATGGCTCTGCACTCGGCCGAAGATGAGTTCGTCCCGGCCAAAATCGACAAGCAAGCTCTTATCGACTCGTGGAAGACGACGAGCGCAAAAGTGCACCATTTGAGCGGGGTGATCCCAGGAGCAAGCCATGCTGTGAAGCAGGCAGAGGCCCAGAAATGGTTGGCAGGCCGCGTGATGGAGTTCATCCAGCAAATGTGAAATCAGGAACAGCTTTGTCTGGTTTAACTGGGCTGGCCAGATCGGCGACTAAGTGGCTCGCAAACTTTGCCTCGGCGGCCGCCCAAAAGAGTGAATGTATACCAATATACCTCTTAGAACATAGAAGGAATTCAAGGATGAATACGCGTCAACTTGATCTTCTAGGTTGAACTTCTTCGCCGGTAGTAGGACCTTGTTCTACTTTGCTAGGTACCTGGGCAGTGTAATAAGCGAGGTCGGCGATAGGCAGGCGTGTTCGTGTCCCGAGACCCACTTACTCGGGCAGAGGTAGCGGCGATGCTCAATGCAGGTCGCCGACCCCAAGAACTGCCCTGGTTGATTATGCGATCGCGGGCGCTGCGAATACTTAATCCCTTGGGAGCTCATGCCCGTCAACATCCACAGACTACACACACTACCTAAATCGATCATCGAAAAGTCAAAGCTCACCTTTTACAAACTACAACTGACCATCACCGTCGATCATTGGCACTACAACATTTCTACCTCCAGCTTTCCCCCGTCCTTCAACATGTGTTTCGGAGTCACTTGCTCGACTTGCTGTAAGTTCGACCCAAGAACTCCAACCCCATTCAGCAACTCATAGGCTAACAGCCAGCTAGCAAAGGCAACCTGGCGTGGTTGCGGCCAGCACATCCCCTCGGCTCTGAGCGGCGTCCCCGAGGACCAGTGGTGCACATGCACGCCCAAGGTCACGGTCAACGGCAAGGAGTACCCGCCGGCAGGCTCAGTATCGATTCCTGGTATGTCTTGGCTGAGCAGCTTGTTTGGCGGAGGCAGTTCAAATGACAAGGCAAAGCAGGAATCTAAGAGGCGGGGAGAGCTATGATGACGGGCTGTATCACGATAGGGCTCCAAGGCGAGATGAACGGTGTACAACAGTGGGCGGCTGAGGCGAGTTGAGGCGTTGCATGGTAGATGGTGAATGGGTGAGGGCAGGCATAGATTTTGGAGTTGAGCCTGTATAACTTTATGAGGCTACAGAATGCATCCTCTTTAGGCCAACAAGTGAGGGTGTTAAAGCGAATGTATGGTCCGTTGCCAGAATCAAAGTGGCAGGGTGGGGGATGGAGGGGTTGTCATTGCGATCAATGTCGGGTGCCCCTCACGTCTCCATTTTGGGGCTCTAGTGGGTACCGGTTACCTAAAACGCCATGCCTGCGCTTGGTCATTTACGAATAGAAACGCGCTGATTGAACAGCACCTATCGTCGCCGGCCCGGAGCTGATAAGAGGTCCCGGCGTCACTCGAGCTCCGGTCCATGAATCACGGCGCCTTTGTTTCCTGTTGGAGGCACCTTTTCCTCTTTCTTCCAGCACCCTGGCCGTCCCTTCGGATCCCTTGGAGGCAAGACTTCATCATGCTGCTTCTGTCACCCGTCGTCCTCGGAGCGGCCTCCGTTGTCCTCACCCTTGTCTACCTCGCCCGCTGTGTTTCTTCCCCGTTATGGAGACTGCCCGGCCCGAGGGCATCCGCCTTCACCTCCTTACTTCTGAAATGGCATGAGTGGCACGCCCAAAGGACCAAGTATATACACCGCCTCCACGAGGAATACGGCCCCGTCGTCCGTATAGCGCCGAACGAGGTGGCTTTTACCTCCTACGATGCTGTCAAGGAGATATACTGTTCTGGGGGCAGCGGGTATGACAAGACGGAGTTCTATAACCTATTCAGAGTATATGGTCGGAGGTAGGAGCAAAGCAGTATTTTTTCCCAGGCGGTCTCCCTGTCTCACAAACGTCTAGGACAATGTTCACCACTCTGAAAAAGGAAGATGTATGGCCCCAGAATCCCCCCGTCGAAGGATTAGAGACTTATCGAGTGTGCGACACAGCACGCCAAGCGTAAGAGAATCATCGCAGACCGCTACGCCAACAGCAACGTGCTGCGCCCGGCGCCCTTAAGTGGCATCCAGGAAAGGTCTCTTAACTTCATCAAGCGATGCGAGGCCTCTGTGGGCAATAGCCATGACATTTTTGTGAGTGATCGAGCAACGGCGGCCGTCGCCGCGCGCAGCAGTGTGCTCACACCGGTGTAGATGAGCCTGCACTCATACGCCTGCGATTGCGTCACACATCACCTATTCCATCCGTACGGCACAAACTGCCTCCAAGACACCGCGGACGAGGAGATGATGCACCAGGTCGCCGCCGACGACAGCCTGCAGAACCGTCTCATTCAGCACTACAGCCCTGCCCTGCACAAGGCTTTATCTGGGGTGCTGTACGCCTTTGCCAAGCCTCGTGAGACGCCTCTCGCGGACAACTTTGTGATGGAGTCGAGCAGGCAGCCCGACCCGGCGCCGTTCACCCTGCTGAGCCGTCTGCACGAGAAGTCGAGCGACTTGGACCAGACCGACAAGGCGGGAGAGAATCTGGATCACATGGCGGCCGGCATCGATACCACGGGCGACGGGTTGTGTTTTCTCATGTGGGAGCTCTCGCAGCCCAGGTCCATGCAATTCCAGGAGAAATTGCAGCGGGAACTGCGGGAGAACCCCGGGGTCTCGTTTGATAAGCTGCCATTCCTGGATGCTGTAGTGCAGGAGGGGCTCAGAGTCTTCCCCGCCATCCCCATGTCCCTTCCCCGGTATGTGCCCCAGGGTGGTCGCACAATTGACGGGCACTTCATCCCGGAGAAGGCCATCGTGAGCTGCCAGGCGTACTCGGTTCATCGGATCAACAGCGACGTCTTTCCCCGGCCAGAGTTGTTTGATCCTGGCCGATGGATGGGGCCGGCGGGGGATGCGGAGAGGAAACGATTGATGTTTGCATTTGCCAACGGTGGCCGGGGTTGCGTAGGAAAGCAGTGAGTTTTTCCCTGGTGTGCAGCGCATACTTCATTCACCCTTCCCCTCGACTGAGAGACTGATTCTTGACCGTGTAGCCTGGCACTGGCCGAGATGAAAATTCTCCTGTCGGACATTTATTCTCGTTACACGACACTTCCTGAGACATCCATGACGGCCGAATCGATGGCCATGTCTGACCAGCTCATCTCGTCACGACCCCTGGGCCAGAGGTGTTTGCTGCAGTTTGTTCCTATTGCCGAGAAACGAGAGTGATCGGCGCATGGTTTAGATGGAACTTGTCCTGGACAGGTTTGAAAGAGATAGCAAGGCCGGGGCGAGGTTCAGGAGATCATGGCTGGGCGTTTTGTTCCTGTTGGCGCTGGAGGGCTTCGACAGACACCAAATATGTCGCGTGGAGGCTGAGGGATGTAGAAAGGGCAGAAGATGAGTAAGACGACTTGGCCCGCCCCGATCCGACTACATACTGGTGCCACCTCTCAGCAATGCTTCGGCTTAGAGAATCTGGCCTGATTTTTCAAGCGGTTACGTGGACGACTGCAAACTTCAGATAGGTATAGATGCGTCGGTCCAGATGACTTGCAGGACAGAATCTCATCAGTTCGCAAGTAAGTTTCACTGGCTCGGATTTACTCCGTACTCGCCGGTGTATTCGTGTGCGAGCCTGGGAATCGAGGCGGGGGCGAACCCAGCGGCTGCAGAAAATAGGTACAACACTACCTAGGTAGGTAGCGCGGTCCCCTGATAGCGGAGGTGACAGATGGGTTGCCCTGGAATTGAAAGATTTATTTTTGTTTCTGCGCCGCAACCCAGATGAGAAAGCAACGAAGAGATCCTTCCATTTGCATCCGAAGCAGCGTCAGCATCCGTTTCCCTTGCCGGCCTTGCCCTCCCTACCGTCCACACTGTGACACTCTGCGTGCGATTTGCGCTTGCTGAGGCGTGGACGGCCATTGATTGGCCTGTGCCTGCGGCGGGGCTGTCGCAGTTTCCGGTGAGATGGCCCGCGGGAAGTCAAGCTGCTGGTGGGCAGTTGTCAGTGTTTCAACGTCCCGTCCATCGATGGGAAACCAGAAACCCCTTCATGTCCAATCGCATAGGTATTCGCGCACAGGGCATGTCCCAGGCGAGGGAAGAACGAGCAGGGCAGGGAGCAATATAGCCCGCAATTGTGAGATTCTTTCGTATGCTTGCGTGCTTGAGCCCAACTCAAGGTTCGTGTGATTATTTTATTATCGTCATTCGTCATGTAGTCCGTCTCTTAGAATCCCGTTGACGGGTGTAACGATGGGGCAAGTGCATCCTGGTGTCGCATAGTAGAGGCTGCCCGCAATTACAACTTTGCTCTCTCGACCCTCTCCTGTTCAGCCCATGATTTGTTGATGCGGACATTTTGATAAAACCGCCATGCCCCAATGGCTGCCGCCGCGGGAGGGCATGCCAGAAGCAGCCAATTCCACCAAATGGGACTCGATGCCTGTACCTGACGAATGGCCTCGGCGATATCCCTCTTGAGATCATCCTTGGTTCCGTCATTCCAGAGCACAACTCCCTTGCCTGGACCTCGCGCCTCGCATCTCTTCGCCTTGAGCCTTACGTCGGTCTGACTTAGCACACGATTCTGAGCGTCCTCGGCAGAAAGATGGGGATCACGAGCTCTGAGTCGCTGCATCTGCACCTCGGGGTCCTTGACGGCAACGACGAAGACGGTTCCGCAGATGCGGTCAAGCCCGCTCTCAAAAAGAAGGGGCACATCCAATAGGACGGCCCAGTGACCGCGGATGTAGGCCCGGAAGATGGCTTTATACATGGCCCCGCGGACGGCCGGGTGAACGATGCCGTTGAGGACAGCGCGGTCACGTTTTCGCTCCTCCGTGTTGCCAAAGACGCGGCGGCCAAGGGCAGGCCGGTCGAGAGGACGTCCTTTGCCAGTGGGTCCATTTTCGGGCATCGTGTCGGAGACCGGCATGAGGAGATCCGGAGTCGTCGGGAGGAAGTAATTCACAATGGCGGCGTATCCTTTTGTCCCCGGCTCGACGACCTCCCTGGCGAGGATGTCGGCGTCGATAAGTGGAATGGAGTAAGGAGCATTAGAGAGGACGGAGGAGACGGTGGATTTCCCCGTTGCGATTGATCCCGTCAGGCCGATGAAAAGCATCTTGAGTACGTGCGTGTTCCTGGTTGACAGTCTCTTAACTTCTCTGTGATTGTTTTGATTGCTCTGCCGCAGTTGATGTAGTTGATGAGTGGAAGCTCAGCACTGCAACGTTGAGGTTGATGATGGCGACAGTGAGAAGTGGACTGACTGTGGCCGAGGTACAACGCGGCGCGTTCGCTTAGTGTGCGGTGGTGCTGCATGCACCCTGGTTCACATTCTGGGCACTGGTTTGAGGTGGGACACTCGATGATACCCACTGGGTGAGTCTGGGACACTGATGTTGTATCTGTACTGGTACGCAGAATGCTGAGTACACTATGGCGGGGGCGGACGTGGGGCAAACAACGACTACGACGACGACGCTCCAAGGACATATTCTGTTGGACATTACGCCACCATTGGCTTTGTTGGACTTGGGCTGTAAGACGGGAGAAAGGAAGGGAGCGTGAGGGCCATTGAGGGAGGGAGGCTTAATTGCGAGAGGCTCGCCGAGACGGGCGAACCACGCTGTCAGGCTTCAGACTTGCCGTCTACGCCGTCCAGTGCCGTCTGTACCTTCTGAGGCCAAAGAAGGTGCGGCTGGTAGATACATTGGCGCCCTGTGCCTCTAAGAGACAGGGTACATGAGGGAGGGGCAGAGCTAAATGCGCCATCACAAGGCGTACCAGTGAATCAAGTGCTTGTTCTGCGTGGTAAGGCGGCGGCAAGGTTGGGCCCCATTATTAAGGGATTTTATTGTCCATGTGTCTCCGAACTTCCTGACACTGACTCTTCCTCTCCCTCACTGCTCCTCCCGCACACACTCCACTCCGGTCTTTTTTCAAAACTCTGCACTCACTGCCCACCTCAGTCAACTCCGTGTCTCCTCTTTCCCGCACACAAAAACCACGCAAAATCCTGACCTCCACTCGGAGATACCTCTCTTCATCTCGCGAAAAAGACATATCTTCTGCAACAGCAGTCCCACCGTCTGCTTCTGCTCCTGCTTCGGCAATCCCATCCTACTCTAGCGCCGCTCGCGGTTTCGCACACAAAAACTTTTGCACAAGAAGAAATCGCCACCACCACCCAACAACAACACATCACCAGCATTCACCAGCAGCATCCTCTCTCCTCGTATCGTTCGACCGCCGAGTCCCCGATCCTCGCGAGAGTTGAACATAACCCAACACCCTCACGCGGTACAAACCACATAGCAGTTTATGTATCAGCACGACAAGACCACCGTCTTCAGACACTTCGTCCCCAAGCTGCAATCATTTCGCATAGCGCGGAAACCTTGTAGCCCCAACATCAGTTCAGTCGGCTGAAGTCCACTTCCCAGAGGATTCTATGAATTATCGACAGCAAAGACGATCCAGTCTCGCTTTACCCTATGTCCATCGATCCACCCGCTGAGCATTGAGTCCGCCTTCTTGCTCCCTTCCAGCTTCCCAACAACTACCGATTCGACCGATACTACTCCGACGAATCACGCCTTCTTCATGCCCCTCGTCCGCTCGACAGCCCAGCATCACTACCAGCTTCGCTTCCTGAGCCTTACCACGCTATCCTAATCTCCAAGAAAATAACAACTACAACCTTCTACTACCAAAGGCCTTCAGCCGTCTCAATAACAATACCGCAATCATGGCTTCTCTCGTCAACGTTCGTCGCGATGTCAAGGACGCTTTCTATCGCTACAAGATGGAAAAGCTCGTCACCAAGATCGAGGGCAAGGGCAACGGTATCAAGACCGTCATTGTTAACCTGAGCAGCGTTGCTCAGTCTCTTGCCCGTCCTGGCGCCTACGTTATCAAGTACTTTGGCTTCGAGCTGGGCGCCCAGACAAACGTCGACCCCGCTGACGACCGCTGGATCATCAACGGTTCTCACAACGCCGCTAAGCTGCAAGACCACCTTGACGGCTTCATCAACAAGTTCGTTCTCTGCAAGAAGTGCAAGAACCCCGAGACCGACGTCAACATCAAGGACGGACGTATTCTGCTCGACTGCAAGGCGTGTGGTCAGCGTTCCGAAGTTGACCTGCGCCTGAAGCTCAGCAGTTACATCCTGAAGAACCAGCCGAAGAAGGGCAAGAAGGACAAGGCCGAGCGCAAGGCAGCTCGCCGCGCCAAGGCTAATGGTGCCAAAGAGAACGGCCAGAATGGCCACGGAAGCGGAAGCGGCGGCGAGGGCTCCGATCACGGATCCAACGACGCCGACGACCAGGACGCTGGCAGTGATGACGAGCTGGAGAAGATGAAGAAGGAAGCCCCTGAGCTCGATGACAACGAGACGGCTGAGCACGAGTGGGCCGTGGACATGAGCGAGGAGGCTGTGAAGGCCCGTCAGGCCCAGCTGCCCGGTGAGTTCAAGCAGAAGCTCAACATCGGCGATGATGAGGATGAGGATGGCGAGGGCGGTGGCAACACTGTCTATGACGAGTTCGGCACTTGGATCCAGGACCAGGCCACCGCTAAGGGCGGTGTTGACAACGTCGACTCCATTGACATCTTCGTCAAGGCCAAGGAGCTTGGCATCGAGACCAAGCACCGCTCCGTCCTCGTCCTGGTTCAGACCATCTTCGACGAGAACATTCTCGCCCAGATTCCCAAGCGTTCCGGCATGATGAAGCAGGTATGTGGACATGATCTTCGAGGCTTGGTATTTGCAGATACGCTAACACGCACTGTAGTTTGTCACTTCTGACCGCCACGAGAAGGCTCTGCTTGGTGGCACCGAGCGCCTTATTGGCAGCCTCGGCAAGGAGCACCCCGAGCTGTACACTCAGATTGTCAAGATCCTGCAGCTGTACTACAACTTCGACCTGCTCAGCGAGGAGGTCGCCATCAAGTGGGGCAGCAAGGCCAGTAAGAAGTACGTCGATGTCGCCACCTCCAAGAAGGTCCGCAAGGCCGCCGAGCCCTTCATCAAGTGGCTCGAGGAGGCCGAGGAGGAGGAGTCCAGCGACGAGGAGTAAACGGGAGGTTATGTGTCGGATATCACTCGTTTTCTTACAGTACAGTCAAGGCTGGCGTCAGCAGGTGGCCCTGCCCACTGTTTTTGCTCACCAGCTTCGCTCATTGGCTTTTCTGCCTCGTACACTCAGTCTTCACTTTCCAGATGCTAGGCATCCGGCGATTTCGTCGGTTTGTCTAGCATTCACTGTTCCTAGGTAGCGCATCCTGTAGGCCTGAATTCGGAAAAGAGTCCACTCTTGACCAGCGAATGTCTTTGATGAAACCGTATCTGTCTATGTGCTGTTCCTGTTCATTCGCTTTTGCCGTGTTAACCCTCGTCCCTCATCAGGACACCAGCGTAGCTAATTAGGTATTCCGCGCGCGCCCTATGCCGCAAATCTCATGAAACTAACTCCGCACTCCGCCTCACGCAACTTGCTGCCCAACGGCCTACCGCAAGCCAACGCAGTCTCAAATCCATAAACGATAATTATGTTCCTCGATCCCAAGCAAATTCGCAAACGCAGCCTTCGCCCAGGCGCCGTTACTTCCTCTAATCGCATCAAACTTGGATATCCGGTCCTGTCGCAGACTTCAAGTTTCGTCCACTTGTTTCTCTACCAAGTATCCGCAAGTCCGTTGGTAGATTGCGCCATGCTTGTATCACCCCAAGGCGGTGTAGGGTCCCAGGCGCCCGGCATGCTCTTGCTGCTGCCGGAGCCCTTGCTCATCTCGGTGCCGGTCGGATTCCAGCCGTCTCCAGCGGGAGCAGGCCCCCATCCGCCGCCCTCACCCGCCGTCGTGGCATTCTTATCACTCTTCTCGCTCTTCTTTGACGTTTGGGAAGCGTTGGGGCTAACCGTCATCGGTCCAGTATTGTTGTCGACGATCCAAGCTGGGTTGTTGTCGCCGCTCCCAGCATTCCAGGCATCGTCTTTGTTTGAGCCCTTCTTGGAGCTCTTCTTTGAACCATTGCTCTTGTTGGAGGCGTTACCGACGGGGCTGTTCGTCGAAGGACCAGCGTTGTTGTCCCAACCTGAGTTCGACGGCGGTGCTTGGCTCTTTCGTGACTGATGCGAGTTGTTGGAACCACTCGAGACAACCCGTCCAGAAAATCCGACATTATTGCTCTGATTATCCCAATTGGGAGGTGGCTGCTGGTTGCCACTGGCGCTTCGGTTGCTTCCTCCCCCGTTTTTGCTTTTGTTCGACTTCTTCGAGCTGTTCGAATGATTAGAGGCTGTTGCCCAATTATTGTAATTGCCTCCTGTAGCCCAGGTGTCGCCTGTGTTACCGTTAGAGGCTCCCCAGCCGTCTGTGTTCATTGTCTGGTTATTGTTTCCGTTGTTGTTGCCCGAGTCTCCCCAAGTATTGTTGTTTGTCGTCGCTCCCCAGACATTGTCGCCGCCAGAAGCTCCCTGAGCAGCATCGCCCTGGGTATTGCCTGACGAGCCCCAAGGATCATTGCCGGTGTCGTTTCCTGACGTGTTCCAACCGTCATTGTGTTGGCCAGTGCCTGAATCGTTCCAGGTGTCATTTTTCTGGTCGTTGCCAGAATTGTTCCAGCCGCTGTTGCTTCTGCCACTCTTGTTGCTTCCTGATCCGCTCCTATTACTTCCTGAACCACCTGTCGTTCCCCAAGCGTCATTATTGCCATCACCAGTTTGACCCCAGGCAGAGTTACTTCCTGTGGTCTGGGGCCACCCAGAGTTGCTGCCCGCTTGACTCTTCGCGGGTGTGCCCCATCCGAGGTCTGGGTGCTGACCACTGGGTATAGTCTGCCAATCGGTGGTCTTCTTGGACCCCCAAGACTTCTTGCTCCCGTTGTTGGATCCCTGCTTGCTCCCAGCTTGTGAGCCGTCTTTATTGGGACTAGACTTCTTGCTGACGGTGTTCGCAAATTCGGCCCAAGGCGTGTTCGGATTGACAGTCAGACTGATGTTGATGGGAGAGGCTGGTGCAACATTGTTGTTCAACGGCTGGACCTTGGCGCTCTTTGCAGGGGAGGGAGCTTTGGCGCCCGCTGGACCAACATTCGTTTCCCATCCCTTCTCTTTGCTGTCTCCTGCCTGGTTGGCCCCTGACATCTTCGGTGACCCTTTGACTGAAGAAATCTTGACTGGTGACACTGGAGCCCAGTAAGGCGGTATCTGCGGCATTTGCATCGGATCAACCGGGGCCATCATCGGAGGTCCTCCTGGCATGTAGGTGACTGGAATAGCACCCCATGGCGACTGGCTCTTGGAGTGGTTGTCGCCAGGATTCACAGTGTTAGAAAACCCGTTGAAGTAAGGGTTCTGCAATGGATGAGGCATGCCTAAAGGCAGAGTTGCCTTGGAAGGATCGCGCGCGGGATACAGTAGTCCATAAGGATTGCCGTATGCTGGTCCGTGATAGACTCGAACGACGCCGTGCTGCGAATCATGGAAAGCATTCGGTCGGGGGTCCTTAACCCCTTCAATGGCATGCTCAACCTGTAGAACCTCAGCTCGGATGGGCATGATGAGGTTTGGGCGGCGGAGATTGGGAGGTAAGGCGGCCTCGGGTCTCAATTTCTCGGGCTCGCGAGCTTTCTTGGCCTTTTCTTTCTTCGTGTCGTTCTTCTTGGCTCGCTCCTTCTTTGTCGGGCCAACATTGTTAGGCTCGACGTCTGCTGCGGCCGTTTCCTTGGATTTATTCGCGCTCTTCTTGCTCTCCTTCTTGTCCTTTGTCTTCTTAGGAGGCGGCGATGCCTCATCCTCGGTCTCTGTATCGGTCTCTGTCGTCTCAGCATCGCTGTCGTCGCTCTCCGATGATGATTCGATTACCTTCTTGCTCTTCTTGTCGACCTTCGACTTCTTCTTTTCGTTTGGCTTGGACTCCTCTTCAGAGGTTTCAGCCTCAGCAGCCTTCTCCTTGTCGCCTTTTCCTGCCTTTCTTAGTCTCCTGCGCCCTATCTTACAGTCCCGGCACTTGCAGTCCGGATCGGGTTCTGAATCACCTGAAGATTCGGCGTCTGAATCGGCCGCTTTCAATGCGGGCTTGGGTGCTCCCTGAAAGCGCACCTTCTTGATATTGGATGGTCGGGCAGCAGAGCTCTTGCTCCCGGCGCGTGGATATGTGATCTTGACGGTGTCCTCTTCAGACTCCTCGTCAGTCGAGATCTCGACGCTGATGCGCTGTCGGCCAATCGATGTCTTGCGCCTGCGCCGCTGAACTGAGTCGCAATACTCCTCTACGCTGACTCCAAGAGCCCATTCACAGAGCGTGGAACTTCTGCCCTTAACCGTCATGGCAGCAGCGACCTAGACTAAGTTAGCCGTGCATGAAAGTTTGGAGACTTAGACGTGTTTGCAGATTACAGGAGGGTCTGCAGAAGAAGAATTCGCTCAAAGTCAGTGAGGAGGAAGTTTTGGTTGTAGAGGAGCTTTTTTCTCTGATGTGGACTTGGAAAAGCGCGGCAGAGCAGCAGTTGCGTGAGGCAAGGGGAAGTTGGTCTTTATCGCCTCAAATTTTGGGAAGGAACAACCTCTGCCACCTCCCACCTGCCAGACGAGCTTTTTGGGTCGCTATAATTCATGACTGATACAGAAATTGAATAACGGGAAAGAGCGTATTTCAAGCAGATAGAAAGATTGTTTTCCAAGACGATAGAATCATCATGGCACCTTTGCCATTCTCACCAAGCGGGCTAGGGTGGGTGGCAGATTTTATTACGTCCCTTACAGAAAGTACGTCACTAACACATCTGAGTCGCATGCGAAGAAATTATCCTGAATCTTGGAGAGCATCGCGAAAAGGTTGTGCATTTTCTTTTTCAACTACGGAAATTCCAGGTTTGGAAGAACTGGGCCGGCATCTGACAATCACGGACCGTCGACGTGGAGACTGCCTCCGCTCTTATATCAAGAAAGCCACCCATCTCTCTTGTGGCACGCACAATTGACGTGATTTCGTCCAAATGTGCCTCGAAACCATGAACATAAGAAAAGTCCAGCCATCCAATTTACCCTCGTCCTGTCTCCCAGTTCATCCCAGTATCTGCCGTGGAGCTGGCTCTGGACATTTCGTGTCCAATTATGAGAACGCGAGGCAGTTCTGGATTGACATCACGTCAGTATGGCTATCATCACTTCTCTGGCACGAATCCAGCATACCTCGAAGACTGGAAGTCTAGTTGGGAAGTCGTCCGGGGGCGTCCGAATGAACTACCAAGATCAGCAAGATGGCTCGGCAAAGAAGTTTGATGAGGAAACTAACAAGCAAATTCTGCGATTGTCATCGCTTACAGTTCAGGTCTCGGGGACCTGTGATGTAGGGTATCGCTGCGCGGAGTGAGTTGACTGTCCTAGAATTGACAAAAAGGTTGGACTTACAGCAAATAGTCTGCCTAGTTGGGCAGACGAACGGCGTAGAAAAAGCCCTCGTTAGTGACATACCAGCGACAATCGCCGAGGTTGTCAATAGTAAAACGGTTGCGCTGGGTCCAATTACCGTCAACCTCGCGAACAGGATAATAACGAGACGGGTCGTCATCAGCAGGCTTGAAGTCCTGAGGCTCAAACAAGCCATTGGCGTAGGCGAACTGCGCCTGTTCCATGGCTATCTCGCCAGCCGTCTTTCCAAAGCCAGTGACATCAGGAGGAAAACCACCATTACCTGCAAAGACGGGACCGCCGCCACCGCCCATGTTGGGGGGCATGTTCATGCCCATAGGAGGAGGACCCTGGAACATGGGGGCGCCGTTTATGACTTGGGGAGGGCCCTGGAGCATGATGGGCGGGTTCTGCATGGCCATTCCAGGCTGCATGATAGGCTGCTGGGCGATCATGACGGGAGGGTTGGGAGGAGGAGCTTGGCCGATGTAGGTGACGTTGTTGGGGGGCGGCTGCTGTGATCCCAAGTCAGTATAGTTTCGTCTGAGAGTTGGCGAGGCAAAATGAATTGATAACGAGAAGAAGGTTGCGAGCAAACAAACACATGCCAAAAACCACTTGGCTCTCTGCGCCAATGGAAATTAGAATTTTGAGATGTGTGAATGTATGGTGACTTGCATAATAATAAAGGACGAGGGGCGCATTCAGCAAGACGGGAGCAGGCTGCTGCGCAACGAGGGTAGTAGTGGCAAGTGGGAGAATCTGAACTTGAGGAGGACCGACATGGTAAGCATAGCCAGGGTGAGGAGGCGCGCCGTTGTCATAGCGAGGCACGTAGACGTGCTGCATGACGCCGTGAGAAGTGTCAGGGACCGGCGGCTGGAAGTGAAGACCTCCGGCAGGCGGAGCGACGTTCTGGTAGTCGGCCATGTTGACGTAGGCAGGAGCTTGAAGACCAAACGGATTGAATTTTCCAAAAGGTGCGAAAGCGTTCGCCTCAGCAGCGAAGACGGGATGGGTCGAAGTTTGGGGGATGAAAGGGCCGTAGGTTGGCTGAGGAGGGACCTGGCCGAAAGGTGTTGAAGGTGGAAAGTTGTAACCAAGATTGACCGAGGCAGAAGGGTTGGAGGATGTGTGAAGGAAGACGCCGGGTACAGGCTCCTCGTCTTCGTGGTTGTCTGAGGCAGGAGCGGTCGAGGCGGTCGAGGTGGTCGAGGTATCGGGTCCTTGGGTGATGGGGAAAGGGCTACCAGAGCTGTGGCTGCTGCCCTCCTTGAAATGAACCTGGCGAGGTCCACCAGTGTTGTTGGCACTCGTCTTGACCTTGGGAGACTTCATTTTTTCGGCAGGGCTTGGCTGGGTAGTGATATTCAGAGTCGATGTTGATCCTGGCCAGCCTCCTGGGAAATGTTTGATTTGATCAGGGGTTGAAGGGTCGAGATTCAAGAAGAAGCTTCCAGCGCAGGGCTCGCCTCAAAGTTGAAAGCTGGATTGATGAGGTCTCCTTCACTCCATCTCAATCTGAAGTGAATGGGGCCAAAGTGAAGTTTGTGGAAGAGATGGCAAGAGGAGAAAAGAAAAGACACGACCCTAGGGCCAGGTCCAGAAAAACCTCACCCAGCCGCATTGAAGCCATCGCGGCCTGGTCTTTTCGGCCTGGACTCCTCAGCCATAATATCACACCACGACTAAGCGGGGATGAGGCTACAATAGCAGCGCAAAGAAGACAGATTCAAGGGACGACGCCTTTGTGGCGGTCCCCGTGGAAGCACAGCGAGATCAGAGGAAGGGGATGTAGAAAGAGAAACTAAGGGAACCGTGAAACCATCCACTTACTATCTCCATGACATATCGCTGACCATCCCACACGTAACGGTATACATGAGGGGGATCTTCGTTGTCGTAGTGAGCGCCTGAAAAGGGCCAGCAGCCACACATCTTGACCAAATCGTAAGGGGTTGGATTGTTGTCGGAAGAAGCAGGGCCAGAAAAGTGGTGTTGATCGGAAGAATAAGTGTAGCCTGGCCACATACGGGACGAAATTGTGACGACTGAGAAGCCAAGTGAAGACCGGTCGCTCCCACTCTGGCGACTTTTTTGCAACCCATGTTATCCATACCACCTGCTCAATGCAGCAAGGCAGGCACCATTTGCCTCACGCTCCGTTGTAAATTACTAGAGAAGGGAAGAGAGATCAAGACGGAAAAGCACCGATTCTCCTGGAATGAAACCGCAATGCTCGCGCTGCGTCGCACGGAGTTCGACGGCAGAATAATGAAATAAGGTACCAGCGAAAAATCCAGGCAATTGTGTTGTTACACAAAGGCAACTTGGCTAAGAAGAGAAACCGAAATATTCTACAGAGACGAACGTTTCAACAGCCCGAATGGCAAGCGAAGTGCCGCCGTTTTCCACTAATATCCTTCGACCTGGGCTAGAATGTCCTCATTTAATCATTCAAAGTCCCGAGGCCATTCTCCTCGTCCATCTGGAGATCGGTGGCCTTAAAAAAAGGCAAACCTGCCAACATTGACTGGGTCTTCCGGTTGGCCAGCGTTCTCGGGGACAGAACGCTGGAAATCCCTGAGCCGCGGCAGCTCTTTCTGCAGTCTGACTTCCCAAGCCTATGTCTCCGGAACGGTTCACCTAGTCAGAGATCTGCGCCGATTTTCACCGAGTAAGGATACTCACCTTTGCCACGGCGACGACCTTTCTTCCGTTCTGCACGTCCTTCATCATGCCATCGAACGAATCTGCATCGCCCAGTTCCTGCTGAGGCCCCTAAAGCTCAGGGCGGAATATTGACTCGGCGTTGTAGAAGGTGCGAAATATCCATTTGCCTTTCTTCTTGTCAAGTTCCTCAAGCCATGCCTTGTAAGTAATTGCACTTCCCCTGTTCGGGGGATGGGGACTGTTTTTGGCGGCGAAGGTAGCAATGTGAAGATATAATTGATGAGTAGTTGACCAGGAGTGGATGGAACGGGTCGACCGAGAATGGATGCGTTCAATGTTCCCGATGAAAGGCTCGAAGGTGGCCCAATTTGGCCATACCAGCATATCCAAAGCCGTCGCGCCATCTTCGCCGAGATGAACGATCGCGATCTTGAAGCTGTCATGATCAAGGAGGGGATACGCGTGGAGAGTTTCTAGTCTGGCTAGGGCAACCGCCTGAACCTAAGTTATCGGCGTCAATGCAAAACTTCTAAAATTGACTGAAGATGTGCACCAACCTTCTCATCTAGCCAACTAGGGTCGTGGAGAGATCGGGGTCTCGGTGGGTATCCTGCTCCAAGCCTCAGGAGCTCTTGGTCCAGGAAGTTGTGTAGAGACAGCATGAACTCGATCGACCTTATACGGATTGTGTCCTGAAGAGCGTCGGATCGCGCTTGCAGGCTGTCATGTAGGTACTGCTTTCCCTCTGGAAGCGGGCTTGACGTGTCGCTGGAGAGGACGATGTGACCACCGAATTCGTCATCGACGCGCAACTCACCCGAAGGTAACGGAAATTGAAGGCTCGTGAGATCGCTACGGCGGAATCTTGCCCGCATGTTGTCCAGCTTGAGCTCAACGAGGCCGCTGGCTACATCCTTGAAGATTGGCCGTTGTGTCATAGTGTTGGTAGTCGAGTGATTGTCGACGCGAAAGTTCGTGAGTATGTCGGGAGATGAGGGAGCAACTATTTGAAGAGACCTACCGAAAGTGGTGTTGACGTGGAGGGAACAGGCACCCCCCTCCGATGATGGCTTTCAAGGCAAGAAATTGCGCCTGAAAGCAAGCACAGTTAGCATTCCTCCAAACGAGTGTGGCAGTATTGTTGAATGTCTTTTATTTTTTTTGGTTGACGAGTACTGAACGCCCACCACTACCACCCAATGATGCGGTCGTCTAATGCTTCTTCCCAGATACTATACACGGGTCCACTAGAGGAGAGATCGTCCGTCCAAATGCCCAAGACTCCTCTAAGGCTCTCTAAATTCCTACTCAAACAACAGACAGAAGAAGCTCGTATCAAGCGAGCATTGCCATCCACAGATCCATGGTGATCCGAAAATGATAAAAGAGTTTCATTATTGGTGGGGTTCAACGAGGAGAGGTCGTGAGAGGTGTTATGTCGTGAAATTACAAATGGGCGTGCTCTGAAGCCGTGGGTTCAGGGATGGCGAAGAAAGTTCGGCGAATAACCTAGTCGAAGCGTAAGAGAACCAGAATCATAATTGCGTGCAATTTGAAAACTTACAGCCCAGGCACCGGCTACGGAGGCCACAATACCACCAGAAATCAACATGGGCCGCACACCTCGCGTACTCTTGAAAACCATTCCGCTCAATCCGCCCGCCAAAATGGAGTTCGCGGCATCGTGCTTCCCTCTGAAGTAGCCGATGCTGGAGTTGAAGAGGTTGTAGGTGATGGCGACCACACCGGCCGAGTTGCCGAGGAAGGGACCACGGCGGGTGACGGCGTTGAGAACCGAGTTCAGACGCAGCTTCGGAGGCTGGTTCGCAGACCTCCTGAGGCCCTCCTGCATACCCCAGGCTCCTCCTATCGACAAGGCCGCCAAGTATGTGACACCGGTTCCGTAGCAGAGATCATCCGTAAAGCCTCGGGAGGGGAGAACGGACTGGCCGCCGGGCACATCGTTCAGAGCGGCATCTTCGAGAGAGAGGTATTCGAGAGTGTCCTTGTTCAGGCCGGACAGGGGGTGTAGTTGTGCGGGGTCTGCAAAGGCAGAGCTCTGGAGGAAAGACTCGACACCAGATCCTGCTGACGGGTCGAAATGGGTGGGCGCAGTCTGGAGGGTTGTGGGTGCTTGAGATGGCGCGGGGCTTTGCGAGGCGCCCGTCTCCTTCTGAGCAGACTTGCGTCCAGAAAACGTATCCCAAAGCGACGACATGGCGAGAATCGTGGACGTGGCGAGTGGATTGATGCCGGGGATCGGAGTTGGTCAGAGGGCAGGAGACGTAGGCTTGTGCGGCCGATGATGGAAGCATCGAAAAAATTTGGGCACTCAATCGCGACTTGGACCGTGCGTCCAAATGCGGGAAAGTGACGGATGCGACCTGCGGAATTTTGGCATGGGCCCACTTATCCCGGTCTTGGTTCGGAGTGGAGGGACTGTGATGGAAGGTCATCGGCGGTTTCTTATCGATAAGGCCTGAGGGAAGATAAGACGATAGCACCCTTAGGTAAGCTGCCTACCTGGAGTTTCCCTTCCTGGTCTTGATGGGACGATGGCGGGGATCTCGAGCGTTTGCGGCCGGTCTCCACCCGACCCCAGGCAACGACAGGCAAGCGGCAGAAGGCAGGGCGCAAGGCACTGCCCAACTCGTCTTAAATTAGCGAAAAGCAAGTCTCAACGACATCTCATCCCAGCACCAATAGCAACATGAACCAACGGCTGCTGATCCTCACAGCTCAGCCCACCGACAACATTGTTGGTTCCATGTGCATGGCAAGCCAGCCAGCCTCGCGAATCCTACACTGCTCCAACCGTCATCCTCCTCATGCTAATCCCCCCGTCTGAGACAGTAGTCCCAGCGAGCCCACGCCAGGCTCATGTTAGCTGCTCAAAGACAGATGCTGGCGTGAAAATTTGAAGCATCCGCGACATCCTTCCAGGGGCGGGCGAGGCAGTTCTCGTGTAGCGATACAATGTCTTGCTCGGCAGGCGTCTAGGAGAATCACTGGCTCGTCGATCTGCACTTTGCCGCCTCGGACGAGCTGTGCCTTGTATTCGAGCGCAAACATGCATGGCTCTCATTTATGTGTCACCGGGCTGAACGCTTGGACGAGGAATATCGTGCTGTGCCGCCTTGAGAGTTACATTGGAGGTTGGATTGACAGTCGTTGGTGCCTGGTGTTACCAGTCTGCTATCGCCCAACCTTGTGTCTGTGAGCGTTTGAGTCACATACTTAAAGGCAAACTACATTCCTTTACTACTTTTGAGGGTTGCTTCCCCGTTATCTTGGTGCATGTTTCAGTGTGGCCTGCTCAAGGTCCTTGGCACATTCGTCCTTAAAAGACCGCGTGAGACCACCTCGCAACACTCTCGACGTAGACTCCCAATTATAATCTTATTCTTGTCAATCGATCGACACGATGCTCAAGTTTGTCAGCGCAGGCGTTTGGGGCCTTCAGGTTTGTATCCGGCTACTGTTTTCTGAAATTCTCCGACTAACACCGCGCAGGCCATCATGGCGATCGTTGTCCTCGCCTTATCCATTGAGCTCACCAAGCCTCTGCCACCTACCAATGGTAGCGCGGAAACCGAGATCGACGCACCCACAACTACAAAATACAGCGCGTTCTGCGGTGGTTTCGGACTGGCTGTTGCAATTCTCGGCATCATTGCAACTTTCTTCGATGCTATCCCTGCGATTATTGTGATGGGTGCCGATGCCGTCAGTGGAATACTGCTTCTTGCCGGTGGCATAGTACGTTATACAATGGTTGACGTTGCAAATCTCCAATTTCTGACAATAATAGGCATTCGCAATTGGCCTCCGTGGGGTTGACTGTGGCGCTTCCACCGGGACGAGTCCGCTTGAACTCGTCAATAACGACATCATCAACCGCGGCATGATCCTTCTCAACAACAAGAAGACGACCTACGCAGAGCTCTGGCAACTTCAAGCTAACTGTAAGAAAGCAACGGCTGATCAAGCAATGCAGTTCGTAACTTGTGGCTTTGTCCTGGCAACGATTGCTCTAGTTTTCTTGGTCTGGAGGAGGAACCGCGCTGGTGGGGGAAGGGCATATGTTTAAGGCATTGAGAGATGTCTTCCGGGATGATGTGTTGCGAATCAACAGAGCTTGTCGAACAGTCGAGCACAGTTGCGCTGGTCACCTGGAGCGTTCCATGTACTCATCTCCGGTTGTGGATAGGTTTAGTTAACGGGCGGGCGGGGGTTAATGTCGCGGTCCAGCATTGATGTCGATTAGAGCGTGGCACGGGATACGTAGGATGTTATTCAGATGTTTAAAATGCGGGCTCGATTTTTGGTGCCTTACGGCCACCTACTTTCGTCTGGAAGATACTGTTGCGTTTACCTAGCTTACCTAAGTAAATGTTACTGTGTTTGTCCAAACCACGGCCTCACGTCGGAAAAATCAGAGCGAAATCTCCACGCAGATTCGCATAGTGGTCGGCGTTGCATGGGCAGCGCAAAGTTTTACAAACGGGACGACGCCGTAAAGGCCAAGGAATGGCGGGGTTTACTACAATAATTCAAAAAACAAATCTCAAAATAGTCTGTTGAGACCACCCCACAGTCAAATACCAGGAAAAGTCGTCGTACTCGGCTGATAAGGAAAGGTGTTCACATGGGATTTTATTTAGGGGGCCGGGAACGGAAGGAAATCCACGGAGAACAGGACAACCCTCAGCAAGCCGCTATGCGGAGCCGCCATTAGAATTAAAAATACACATGACGGTGTAAGTTTAACCCAACTGATGTAGTGAAGAAGAGAAAAGAATGCTAGATTTCGCATCGCGAGCAGAGATTTTATGGTCGACCATGGGTGGGGCTGATTGGGGTTCGGCGCTAGCAAAACCGCCGCCAGTGTTTCTCCGGCCTCCATTGGGCCGTGCACGACGAATGGATCCACATTTGGAGTAGAGACCCTGTCCAGTACCGCTACCATGACGCAGGACCTGTATGGCCTGACACAGAAGTAGCTGTACAGGCAGTCTGTGATTAACGATGGAAGAGCCTGTCGATTGAGCTTCCAAGGAACGGACGTGGTTATGTGACGATGACGCGCGCCGTAATAGCGTCCCCTGAGTCCAGAGGCCAGCCTCAACCTCATTTCCTCGTCACTCGAAGCCATGACCTCCCATCTGCCTCATACATCGAGGGATAAGGTAGCAAACATCAACAGAATCAACAGACTGGAGAAGCAAACATGGCGCCGGTGCCCCTGGACCCAGAAATCAAGTGTGTTTGTCTACTGTCAAAGGAATGGTTGATGATCGACATTCTAACGCAGTCTACAGATACCTGCCTTTGAGCCTGGTGGGCGGCCACGCGCTGACGGTGGCATATCTTGGTTTCACTGTCGCTCAGAGTTTGTACAGATCATATCGAGATCTCCCGCCGTCCCAAGGAACAAGAGCAAGACTGGTTCGGAGGTCAACTCTTTCGCCGCTTTTTGCGGGCCTCACTCTTGTCAGCCTCTCACTCGCAGGTTACTGGACATTGAGCTACGCAAAGCTATCATATCGTGTCTGGGCCGATCAGCGCGGAGTGGAATCCCCAGCTAGGTTCGCTGTACCTGGGTACGTTTCTTTGTCTGGCTCGCTGACTGACCGAACTTTTAGGTTCTACGGCAACAACGGGGTCTTCCCTTACGGCGAGAATGCCACTCAGGTTTACGTCGGTCGCTGGTTGAGCGATACTCCAGTCCATTTGGACGCCCTGGAGATCATCGCGGAGAAGGCTCGCCGGTTCTGGTGGGGACAGCAGATCGAACTCGCGACAATCTCCTGGAGCCTTCTGCTGGCGGTCGAAGGCCGAAGGAGGAGCATCCCATCTCTGTGGGCGTATCTCGCTTTAGCTCATTTGGTTAACTTGTCGTTCGCGCAAAACCTCTTTTACCTGGCGTTGATTCTTACGCCAACTCCGGCTCAGTCTGAGGATGGGCAACAGCCAAGTACGGCATTTGGACGCCTTCGCGACAAGGTCTTTCCTCCTAAGCCTGCAGACTGGTTCCCTCACCCGGCGCTACTCCTCGCGTCCTTTTGCCTGAACTACGTGCTGATATACTGGGCACCATCAACAACCGGAACAATGACGTTCAGAAACATCGCAGTGTTGGGAAGAATTCTGACGTTTGCGCCCGTCATAATTCCAGCCGTTGTTCCGGCCAGTTGGGGAACGGTGTACTCTAATCACCATGGGGCATACAGGATCGTCACTGAGCTATTCCGATTTCTGTCCACGGCGAGTTTCGCATTTCACGTCAAAGGGACTGCCCTTGGCCTGCTGTACAACGCACCGGACGCTCACTATCATCGTCATAGTCGGTTCCTTCCCTTCGACAGAGAAGAGCGCTCGACGTGGGAGCGAACAACAACGGCTCTCGGCAAGGTCCTGGGATCGGCATCCGACCACCCCGTGGTAGCAGGCGTGGCATGGGACGTTTTGCTCAGCGGTGCCAGCCAAGGTTTATGGGTTGCCACACGTGCGCTGGATGTGGACGACATTCTGGCCTCCTCGACACCATTCGCGCAGAAGAATGCCCCGAAGGCGCAGCCACTGACCAGACTGCTGGAAGGTAACGACAAATCAACGCCGGAATCGGAAACGGGCAGCCACACCAGCGCGATCTCCACGCGACGCAGGGGCCGCCCAGCGAAAGCGAAAACCGGCGAGATGACAATTTCAAAGACGGCTGCGGCCGAAGGGAATCGCCGAACCCGAGATCGCAGAGCCACGGAAGAAGTTGACGAGGTACCAGAGGATGCATACGAGCCGAGCGCTGCAGAGAGCCGCTCCGCGGTCGAAGGAGATGAGATGCCTGATGGTGACTTGGATTGGGAGTCTGCAGCTCTGGCATGGGGCCTGACAGCTCTCGGCGGCTTGGGATCCAGCAGCGCTGGGGTGTTCGGTGCCGAGTGCACATCGAGATGAGCGGTTGAAACGGATGGGGAGGGCGAAATACACTTAGCGGCCTTGAATGCCCGTTCACAACGCAAAGCTCTTTGTCGGCTTGCATCACGGTTTACCTGGACAAATGGTATTCGACAGAGCTCGAGGACGGCCACCGCCTGAGGCTGGTGGCCGGCGGGCGGTTGCCTCTTAGTTGAGGGTGGCGTTCCGGGAGTGGTTTGGCAGATTGGAGATAAATGCACCAATCGAACTTCTTTCAGCGTCCACGCGCGGATTTTTCCTCGTCCTTAAGCCTGCGAGGTGTCACTAAATGCACCCTTACGTTTAAGGTGCCTGGCACTAAGTAAGACATGGCTCGCATCCAGACCCCCCATCATTGAGCGGCCTAGCCGGGACCATCGGAGACGGTTCGACGTCTTCAAAGAACACACTTTGGAATGGCCGTCTTTCAGAACAATGAGTGCTGAGGTCGAGTCGAGACCGTCAGAGACCAACCCCGCCACGTTGGGGATCATCTTCGATCAGCGGCGAGCAGCGAACATCGGGCTTTCTGATTTACAGGCGCCGGAGACAAGCGAGGACTCCTTTGGTCGAGAACGACCGCCGGGCCAGAGGTTTTTGGAATGACGTCGGCCCGCATCGAGAGCACCCACCCCGCAAGCACCTGCAGAGGCGTAGCGCCTTGCAGACTACCACCCATCCAACCCTAGGCACGTAACGCGGACACAGCGGCAGCAAGCCCAGAAACCGATTCTGGGGTGGTGTGATGGTGTTAGTCTCAGGCCCTGTTCTTCAGACTCAGCGGTGGTGAAAGCACCCCAGAAGCTTGACCCCACCAATGCAAGGTCCAAGAAGGCCATCGAACGACGTGCATCCCACCATCTTGGATCGACCTAACGGTGCTTTCTTTGGCATTGCCACATCCGTCTTGCAGCCAGTCATTCTCAGTATTCTTGCCCATCTTTGTTAAATACCATTGGCATCCCCTTCCCTCCCAAATTTGTCCCAACCACAGATCAGCACCCGCAGCATCTACAGGTACCCACGGACTCTCATCAACTTCATCGGTACCAGTCCTTGTCTAAACATCTCCATCAGCACCTTATCTGTGGCTGATCGACACCATTCTGTCGATACTACCCACACCTCCGACATCTGAAATATTCCTCTCCCGCCAGCCACATCCACTATGGCCATCCGTGACCACTTCCGCCGCCGCAAGTCCATCTCTGAGCCTAGCCAAGGAAACGGCTGCTCATCGCCGGAATCCAAGTCCCCTGGGGCCCTCCGTCTCGCCAAAACACTGCGATGGTTCTCAAAGGAGGAGAAGCCGGAAAAGAAGGCCGCCAAGGAGAAGCCCGATCCCCGCGAGAGGCCTTTCAGCGAGACCAACCTCCGCCACCAAGAAATTCTCAACGGCTTCACGCTCACCTTCGGCAAGAGGCAGCCCAGTCGCGACACGCGGTCAAGCTACTACAGCATCGGCGTCAGTCCCGGTACCTCAAGACACAACAGTGTGGACGAGAGCCCGCGCCGGATAAATTCAGTGGTGCGCGAGGGGCCGTTTGTCCGGTCTGTGCCGGAGGAAGATGAGAGAGTCTAGGAACTTATGTCTTTTGGGAGGAATCACTGTCGTTAATGAAAAGCATTGCATCGGAGTTGGTATTGGCTTATTAACGGGAAAAGACGATTGTCCTTGGTGGAAAACACTATCTGGGAGGGAAGATTTTGGATGCTGTCAAGGTGTACGTACATGTGGTGACCACGCTGCATATGGCATTTGCAAGGACCTGGGATACGATCAAGCCCCAGGCCAGTATTAAATCAAACGAGTAATCTTCTGCACGCAAACACTATCTCCGAGATAATCGACATCTATGATGATTCTCACAGTTGTAACTGTAACTTGGTGGGTGGTGTTCTTCCCGTTCCCAAAATGCGGTGTCCAAATACGCTGTGATTATCATCATGGCCTTGATTGTCGCTATCGACGAACTCGGCACCTTGGATCATACGGCTGTCCTTCTTGCCATCTTCACAACGCCCATCGATAAATGGTGTCCATTCTGTTGCCTTGAACAACGGTCAACTCGGGCGATATCCATACATGGTTATTGCGGGTATTATGTCCTTGCCGACCCTCTTCCTCGTTGTGCCCTCGGCGCACCTTCCCGTCGCGACCACCATTCTTTCTGTTTACACTTTTCGCCCCAAGGACCGTCAGCCTCGTCACTTTCCATCAAAACCCTCGAGGCTGCGACTCACTTGGACTCGACTACCACCCGCACCGCCCACCTCGGCCATCTTCGCCAGCTTCCTCTCCCACTATCCTACCCCCACTCTAACCAACAAACCCCTCTAACCTCTAAATATCAGCCACCTTCCAAGAACAAGATCCTCACTGGCCTAAGATAATTACTTCGTTGGTTGGTATCTTTCTGCCCGTTCTCATCTTTACCAACCCATCCATCATCTTCCGTGCTTCCCACCAAGCGTCAACCGACCAGCACCTTTCACGCGGTATGCTTGAGGAAGCATTCGCGCTTCTTTTTCCAACAGGCACAGCCTGATCCAAGTGAATCTGTCCAGAATATTCAGTGGCCGCACTCATCTGAGAGTGAGTCTCTAATACACGTCTTACGATTTCTTGGACGGCAGCCATCAACACACAACAGATGCCTTAGCACCTATCGTGAGTTACCCTTTGTTGTCGATAGCTGGACTACGCTGATCTGAAGTAGTGCCGCCAGCTTAACAAACTGAACCAAACGCGCAGCAGTCACAAGGACCTTGAGTGATAATCACGATCTACCTGTCCGCCATCCAGTTTCAACCACGAAGCCACATCTCAACAAACCGATCAAATCAACAACAATGGCATCCCTGCAGCCCACCTACGGAGGATGGTTGATCAAAGCCACCAGGGATTGGTATTTCCTGGCCATGGAGAAGGTCCCTCAGAAATACGGTCTCTCCAAGAACGCCCAGAAATTACTGCAGTACTTGGACGATGTCAAGGCGAAGATGATGGACGAGTACGAGCTTGGCCGGATGGTCCGCATGAGCAACGAAAACCGCAAGGCCATCACCGACACCATCCGCAAGGTTGCACTCCTGATGCAGAAGCAGCCAAAGGAGCAGAAGAACTGTATCAAGCTGATTGAGATGTGCACTGAGATCCTGGACATCGCTAGTGAGTATCAGTCAAACCCCATTCATTAGGCCTTTGACCGTTGGGCCACTGCATCCTTTGTTTTCTTAGAGGGCATGTGCTGACTTTCACACAACAGACCGCCCTCCTCCTCCTGCAGCATTCCCCTTCATGAAGTTCCCCCGGGAAATCCGAGCCCGCATCCTCGACATGATCATCGACCAGCATGGTGACACTGGGAAGTTGCAGCCGGTCAAGTGGGGTACCTGCAACTGCGTCAACCCAGAGAGGGAGAAATTCCCGGTGGTGTCCAAGGCTCAGAAGAAGACGTTCAAGCAGCTTGGCATGTCGTTGGGTGACGAGTTCTATGACGTCCTGTACAAGAAGAGAAACTGGTACTTCTCCTGCTGTTGCACGCTCAACAAGGCACTCCAAGGCAACACCAAGCTTCGGACGTACTTGCGCAACGCGCATGTCCACTGGTGCGGCCCCATGGCCAACAAGGCATTCGAGAACCTGGCCAAATGCACCAGCCTGAGAAACCTTACCATCAAGATCTCCAAGGCGACGATGACCATTCTCAACACGCGCGAGGCTGGTTTGGCCAGCTTCTTCTCTCTGAACAAGCGGAGACTGATGGACTGCCTCGGCGCCGACGAGCTCCTGCTTATTCACGGCCTCGAGGAGGTCCATGTTGAGCATGTCAGCTCGGTCCAGAAGGACAAGCTGAACGAGTACGATCGGCAGGGTCTGCTTTCGCTTCTGAAGGCCAAGTGCAAGGATCGCTTCTGAAGGGATCGAAGGAAGTGTGTGCAGAGAACTGGACGAGAAGCAAAATAGCATGTCAGGGCGGTATTGGGTCTCAAGTTTTGGCATCGAAATACAGTGGGAAGGGCCAAACACTGGCGTTGGGATTCCCGAGGCGATGGTCCATACGGATATGGAGGAGACTCTGGACATTGCAACGGAGACAGCAAATCATACTAGTAGCCAGAAGTAGGCAGGTATTTGAAGTCTGAATGAAACGAATCGCAATATTGCAATTGGCTGTCGGGAGACCGGTGATTACGGGTTACAAAAATGCCTGCTACTGACTAGGCCATGTCGTCGGCGTAAACCAACGCCAAATGAGGCTGGATATTTCAGAGATGTGACAACAGATAAATTACGAAAGCCTTCACTTCAAATCTAAAGGTTCCGTACTCAAAGAACATTGTCTGGGGGTTGGTCTTGTCTTGTACACGTCGCCGAAGCGTGGTGTATCCGGCTCAAGATCAGCAGTCGGGAAGGCTAAGCTGATCGAGCTATGGCAAAAGACGGCGTGGTGTATCACAGGAAAGAAACAGGAACAGACACGGGGTCGAGCTGCGCCATGACCTACCGATGGTTTCGCGACTGCAATTGGCAGTGGGATGTCAACATTGACTCTGTTGCCTGTCGCTCATGTTCCAGTAAGCTTTCTCATGCGCTTGGAGCAGCATGGCGAACTTGAAAACGACCAAGAGCTGTGCCGCCGGTTGCGACGGCAGGCTGAATGCAGATTGAAGGATTGCATGTCAATAAAATGGTGAGAAGGAAGAAAAAGAAAAATTCGCCCAGCCGAAAAATAAGCGGTGCGCCTTCTTGGCTGTCAGCGTGCGACTCTAGCCAAGAAGGTGGGCCGCACTGTGTTTGTCCGACCTGGGAGATCGGCGTTTTGACGCTGCTCGGCCGTGGCTCTGCACAGTGTTCACGCACGTAAGTACAGCCCACACTGTGTTCTTTTTGCTGCCCAGAGCACAGTGCTCCGAGCGGGCAGCAGCGAGCGGCGGGCAGGTGCCTCGACCAGAGGGTGGTGCCTGCTGCCCGCCTGCGACCTCCATCCCCACAGGAAGGTCGCGTGGTGCTTTTCCAAAAGGAGCCTTCCCGCGACAGGGATATTGTATGTCCACAGGGGTCTTGGAGGGCATTTTCGCTTTCTGGCCTGTTATCTCGGGTCCTCCATCTCGCCAACCGCACCTGCCATCGTAGGCGAATGGGTGCAGGCGCTGACGGTGACGCCCACCCTCCCTCTGCGTATCCGTAATCCTCATTGCCAATGCGGCCCCCTAAGCCTGAATGCGCATCCCTTCCCCGTTGCGCCTGAGAGCTTCCCACCATCCTCTAGACTGGCTCGCTGAGGAATGAGATCCCAAGACCATGGACGGGTCTCTTTCCGTAGCGGACTCTTGGCAGCGCCAGCCCTGTCATCCGCCCGTTTCTTGGCTTCTGCAGCCTTTGGCTTGTTGGCATTATAAGGGAAATGGAAGCCGCGGTCTCGCATTCGCGCCTGGAGGAGGGGGTAGCTCACCACGTCTGATCCTTTCAACCGTTTCCCTCCCGCCTCTTCTCACATCCTCCTCACGAGAGAGACACGCGCGATCGTGTGTGTAAGAGAGAGATAGAGAGAGCGCGTGCGAGTGTGTCTCTCCGTTCCCGTCCCGTCCTTCTTCACAGCGCCGCACCGAGGCAGCGGCCCGGGAAACCTTCTACGACACTAAACGGAAGAGAATGCCGTTTCCCGCCGACCTCGACCGCCGCCGCCACCACCAGTCGGAACATTGATTCACGTCGCGCCTCCCGTGGTTCCTTTTTCCTCTCTCCTAGCCCGCGATGCTCCGCGTCCAAAAGCTGGTCGCCTCCGCAGGGAGCTCGCCGCTTCTCCTAAAGATTTTACCACGCATCTCCCTCGTTATCTTGATTCTTTGTGTCGTCTATCAGTATTTTGTATTCGGTATGGATTCTGCAAGCCCCCAAAGACCCCACACCTGCCCCCGTCTCCCCCCCAACTCTAAGATATTACAAGCTGATACGAACCACAGGCCAACACGATCCTTACAGGTGCGATAGCCTGCTCTCGAGTGGGAGATGGCGCTCTAGTCAAGACTCGAACCTGCCAAGAGATGTCTTCAAGAGATGGGAGCCCGAAGACTGTCGCATGCGCGAGCTGTCCCGTGAAGATATGTCGAGCTGCTTGAGGGACCGTCACCTAGTGATTGCCGGCGATTCGACCATGCGCCAGATCTACTTCGCTGCCATGACCCGGTTGGATCATCACGTCGCCGAGAAAGCCATCCTCGACTTTGCCGTTTCCAAAAACAAGCACCTGAACCTTGCCAAGGACGTTGAGGGTGTGAAGCTCGAATTTATCTGGGACCCATGGCTCAACTCTACCGCCCTTTTCAGCCAATTGGCTCGATTCCGGGAACGTCCTGGCTCTGCAGATTACGAGAAACTCGTCCGCAAGGAGGGCAAAGACTCGGCCGCCCTTATTGTTGTTGGTACACCAGGTCTCTGGGCGGCTCGCCAGGGCGGTGATCGGTACTTGGAGCTCTTCAGAGAAGGCATCAACAACCTGATGCCGTACCTGCACCGTGATTTTGATCACTTGGTGGTGCTGCCCAAGAGCAAGTCGCAGTCGGCATTCGAAGAGCTCTCCAACCACGTGCTTGTCGCACCCGTGCCTATCCCAGCGTATCACAAGCTATTGACGTCCCGGGCAAGAACAATCACGCCCGAGAAGATAGACGCCATGAACTGGAATCTGGACAATTTTGAGCCGGCGGAACGAACACATGTCATTCAGAGCTACAATGCAATGCTGGATAGCCACGACGATGCTCTCCTTGACGATGGGCTGCATGCTGTAGACATTGTGGCCGAGCGGAAACTCGACGTTATTTTGAACGCTCACTGCAACTCTGGATTGGTCAGAAATGGATACGCAAACCAGGTTACTTGTTGCGCCCCCTACCCGTCCCTGTCAAGGGTTCAGGTGCTGCTTCTTGGACTCAGTATTCTAGCGCTGCCTATCCTATTTCTGGACCGGAGACAGGACGCGTTCCCTTCCGCTCGCACGTCGCAGGTCATGGACTCTCTGCTTGCCGCAGCCACCCTCGTCGCCATTGCTGTTTACTGCCTGCTCGCCGACCGCACTCACCTCTTGATCAAGCATGATAAGCATTTCGACGTGCCCGACTTTATCTTGCCTGTCATTGGTCTGGCAATTCTCGCAGGCCTCTCCCTGCGGTCAAGACCGCCTGTTCTGTCTTCCGCAAAAGGTCTCGCGACGACTTCATTTCTGTCCCGTGAACAAACCGACGAGTGGAAGGGCTGGATGCAGGCGTTCATTCTGCTGTACAACTACCACGCAGCATCCGAGTCACTCGCGATGTACAAGGTGCATAAGTTCCTAGTGGCGACTTACATCTTTCTGTCCTGCTATGGCCACACAAGCTACTTTCTCCGTACAGAGGACTTCTCATTAAGACGGGCAACGTATGTGCTGGTCCGGCTCAACCTTCTCAGCTGCATTCTAGGCCTCGCGACGTCCAGCGAATGGATCATCTACTCGGCGCCGCTCATGACATTTTGGTTCGGAGTAACATTCGCATCGCTGGCTTGCTTCAAAACACTCAACAACAACCCTGTCGCCTTCTTCCTCAAGATTGTGGTCTTCGCAACCTGCACGACCTTCCTGGTCCGAAGCACACACCTCCCGGAGACGTTTTTGAGAATTCTCAAGTCAACCAGCGGCATTCATTGGAACGTGGATATGCTGCGGTCGCATTTCGCGCTGAATCGTTTTGTGCCGTACTTTGGCATACTCACAGCTGCAGCTGCCCACCGGGTTTCCGTTCTTCGCCGCCGTCAGCATGGCATCAACGCTCGCGCGCCATTCGAAAGAGCCAACGACGCCTTTGATCGTGGGATTTTGGAGATTGCGTATCCCGAGAGAGACGCGATACCGGTGAAGCCGATAATGATATGCTTTGCGATTGCCTATCTCGTCGTATTCATCATCCTAGCATTTGCGGCGGACGTCTACCACAACAACGACTCCTACAACGCTTTTCACCCATACATCAGTCCCTGGTTTGTCCTGTCAGCAGTTATCACGCGTAACTCCTTCAAAGCACTGCGTGAACTTCACGTTCCACTATGTGCAACTCTTGGACGGTTGTCCCTCGAGGCGTACGTTCTTCACCACCACATCTGGTTAGCCAGCGATGGCGCCGGGGTGTTAAGAATCGGGCGCCCGGGCTACCTCCCGAGGTCGCTTGAAGTAGTGATAATCGCAGCTATATTCCTCTGGGCGTGCGCTAAAAGCCACAGTGCCACCCGACGGATTGCCTGCAGCTTGACAGGTACTGAGAACCAGGAGGAATCTGAGGACGTCACTTTGGGTCGACCCGTTAAGGACGGTAAGAAGAGTCCTATTCCGTGGCAGCCCGCAGTGGCAGACAACAATGCAGCAGAGAAGGCGGCTGGGAGTGCGAAGCAGAGCAGCACATCTGTTTCGAACGGCGCATTGAAGCTTCGGGTTGTGGGATTGTTGGCGGTTCTGTGGTTAGGAAACGCGATTTACGGAACTTGACGAGAATGGCATGACGACTAGCGAGCTGGAGCTGAAAGCCCGCGAGTCCCAGTTCACCATACGATAGATACTTAATTACAATAATGCCTACACGAGGTAACACGCCACGGAATCGCAATTGACACACGATCCCTGCAAATTCGTCAGTTGCATTGTAGTTGCTGCGTTACTAAACAAGAACAGGGGTTAGGGGCTCCCGTCGGTGTTTCGGGTGTGCTCCATCTGCGCACAGCCAAACCGCCATCTAGTTGAAGGAAAACAAGCTTCGACATCCTCCGAAAGCCAAGCTGCCATCGGTTCAAGCGGAACAGAGTCGTTTTCTGCCCCATCTTGGCATCAGCATCGGCTTGAGCCTAACTCAAATGAAAAGTTTAGTTTTAAGCCCCCTTTTCATAGCTTCAAAAGCCGCACTCGACTCTAAACTTCGCTCTGTGTTACGTTTCAACGTGAGAGCGCACCTTTGCCAACGCAAATCCCAGCAATGATCCCCTTGGCAATCGACATGCCGAGCATCAACCGACCAAGATGCGCAACGATTATCACCGGCATTTTCGCGACGACTTGCCAGAATTTACAATACGGCGCGCTTCCCGACTCCTGACTCTTAAGACCAGGAGATGGAAAAGCCCCGATGACAGAGGGCCCGGATGAGGCTCTTCCGCCCTACCGTTTCGCGTGGGTCGCGAAAGCGGCTGGGGTCATTTGGCCAACGTGATTGGCGGCTGGATCCCGAAACTCGTCCTGTCGTCGATGGGATGATGCCCCGTTGACAGCTGTGTACCTGGCGGTTGAGACGGCACGTCAGAGCCTGTCAAGGTTGGATGGCAGGACTCACGAGAAGCATAGTTCGGCAGACAGGCTGTGCCCTCTTTTACCCCTCCCCCAAAGGACCCTTCTCTTTGTCTCAGGGCTCGAGATGCCTCTTTCCGCCTCGAATGCCCCTCTTAAATCATGCTGTCCCGTGTGCTTTAACCTCCGAAGACTAGGGCCGGGGCTGGTGACGAGACGATGTCCACCAGATCGTCTGTCCATCCCCTGCGATGTCCTCGCTTCGTTCAGGCATTCCGCGGTGGACGACGGGAAACGCTGCTCCCGGCGGCAGGAGGGATTCATCGACAGAGGGCGGATTTTCGTGGAGTGGTCGAAGGTTTGTACTTAAAGACGAGGCTCCAAATTCGCACCCCGTCGCAGCGGATCGTGAGAGATCATAGGATTTACTTCACAGGAGTAGATCTCTTGGCCTCGCGTTGACTTTCCACGACCGTTTCTTTCTCTCGGTGAGCCCTAGAGGTCGCCCAATACCTTCATTCTATTCTCTATACGTAATCGATTTGCATTTGGCTGTGCCTGGCATCATACCTGTCCTTTCTTTTAAATTCTAATCTTTGGTGTGACGAGATTCAAAATGCAACTGAAACATCTTCTCACTGGCCTTGCGGTCTTCAGCTCACTTGCTGCTGCTGGTAAGGCTCAAGTGCGACATGATGGCTGGACAAGGTGCTGACTTGCCTCGACAGCCCCAGCAACTGCACCCGCGCAAGACGCCAAAGCCGCAGACAAGGACGCGCAAAAGCAGGACCAGAACAAGGACCAAAATAAGAACAACAAGAATAACAATAATGGAAAGAACAACAACAACAATAACAAGAACAACGGAGACGTGACGATTATACAAAACATCATCAAGCCCAACATCATCGTCGTGCAGGAGAACCTCGACAAGATCAACCAGCTCCAGCGCCAGAATGAGAGGGAATTGGCGTTGCTGGTACAGTCCCAGCTTGCTCTTGCGACGCAACTGCAGGCTGTCAAGGACAACATTCGCATCAACCACTTCAAGGCGCAGTTCCCCCAAGCGGTGAGTTTCTCCTGGTGTCCTGCATCTGTTCTTCCAAGTTGGTGCTGTGCTAAGACTGCAACCAGAACACCATCATTGTGACCGTCACCGGCCTCGTTGACAACCGCCAAGGTGGAGGACAGAACAAGCGATACCTCGTGAACCAGCTCCTCGCCGACAATGGTAAGCCGGGACAGCAAGCCTTGGTAATGGTCAACGACCCGACACCCATGGACATCTCAACGCAACAGGCGGCATCTTCGCAATCCGACACTTTCGGGGCTGCCCGCGTCGCACTCGACTCTGCCTCTGATGCCGTGTCAAACAACACCGACGGTGTCCAAGCCGCCGCCGCTCCCACTCCAGGAGCTGACGAAAGCGACACCACCCTCAAGCTTGCTGCCTTCGACCAGGCCGCTCCGTTTGGACAAGTCGGCCAGAGCATCATCCTCCCCGCGGGCACGCAAGCTCCTCAGCTGGCCGCGTCCGTTCCGGACCCCGCCGCCATCATTCTGCCGAATCAGGCCGGTCTCTTCGTTTCCAACGCGGCTACTTTCCTAACAGACTGCGCCTCGACCGCCGCCAATGCTGCTGCCGGCAATCCGGCACTCGCTGGAGCTGCTTTGAACATCTTCTCCTCGTTCCAGCAGATCGCTGCCGCACAGCTTGCGGGTCTCTCTGGTCTGGGCATCTTTAACAACGCCGGACAGGCGCAGGGACAGCCTCTGGGTGCCATTGCCGTTGGTGCCAACCAGCCGGCTGCGGCCGCTCCTCCGGCTGCCGCTCCTCCGGCTGCTGCCCCTCCTCCTCCAGCTGTTGCGGCTCCTCCAGCCCAGGGAGGATCTCTTGGTGCCATTGCCGTCGGCGCAAACCAGGGCCAGCCAGCCGCGGCGCCAGCACCCCCAACTGATGCTGCCGCGGCGCCTCAGCCTCCGGCCGCGGTTCTCGCCGGGGCTAATCAAGCGCAACCTGCTGCTGCTTCCCCACCGCCGCCTCAGGGAAGCTCAGGATCAGGTGTGGTAATCGTGGGATCGAGCCCGGGAGGAGCTCCAGCACCAGCTGCTCAGCCTGCGGCGCAACCCCCTGCGGCCGTTCTCGACGGGGCGAATCAGGCGCCCGCAAATCCACCAGCTGTGGCCCCGGCTCCGGCCCCGGCAGCATAGGGAAATGGGATTTGATAGTGCACGACGTACAACGGAGTTGGGGACGGGGAGTTTGGGTTGGGCTGCTGGGTCGGGATATCCAACGGGAGGAATGTGGACATGGCAGACATTCGAAACTTCAAACATATATCCCTCTCGTGGCTCTATGGTTTGTGTAAATGTTTAATGAGGGGGGTTGTATCAGACGCAAGAGTTTCTTGTGCTTGTGCTATGGAATTATACTGAATGAAACTGTAACACCTACCTACCTACCTACCGCGTATGAGTGCCTGCCTTGATGTCTTGACAATTCTCGGTTGATGCTGCAGTGGTGACGCGACAGGAACTAATTGCAGGTCATAGTAGAATTTCGGCAGTAAACCATAGACCAGTACCGTAGGTACTCAGTTGAAGGAGAATCCGCACCCCCCTGCTCGCCAGGGTAAACAAACTCAAGCCCTGATTGGTCGGTTCAGTACTAAACCAGCGAGCGGGTTAAAGAGGATCCAAAGCAAAACGTCTGATTGGTCTGACAGGGGGGATGGGGATTCTCCTTTAACTGAGTACCTACGGTAAGTGACACAAAATACCCAGGCTCATTCACACTTGCAATGGCACTCTGAAAAGCACCAAGGGTCCTTTTCCATGGGGCCGTCAATCTTATGGACTTCACAGTGCTCGATGTTAGACTGGCCGAAAACAGCGGGTAAGAACAGCCAATCAAATACAACAAAGACTGCCCCCCAGACCCATAGTGGGGTTTCAGCAGGGGCAATGGACCAACGACGGATGACTCTTTTCGAGGCAGAGACCGCGAGGGAGGTGGTCAAGCGAGGAAGAAAAAAAAAAAGGTGCGTCGGCCTTGCACGTGACCCTACCCTAGCGAGGCCCACGCCACGCCAGAAATTTCCCACACCCGAAGCGCACCTCCAACTCTATCATTGCTTGTCTGTATCCCGACTTCGTCGTCAACCATCAACACCCGACACCTAGGAGCAACCATCTCGACAGTTGCCCAGCATGTCGCTCGTCTCGGGGGAGAAGAGTGCGTTACCACCCGCGAACCGATACAGTTATGGAGGAGAGCGCAATCGGCTAACAGTCTCGTCACAGCGAACTTCCAGTTCATCCTTCGTCTTCTGAGTACGTTTTAACCTTTCTCCCAACACACACACACCTACACACGCATTTGACGATCCCACGCGACGACAAACACTCCGAATTTCGAGAAATGATGGACACGAGAGGCTAACGTGCGCTTTCACAGACACCAACGTTCGTGGCCAGGAGAAGGTCATGTACGCCCTCACCAAGATTGGTGGTGTCGGCCGTCGTTACTCCAACATTGTGTGCAAGAAGGCCGATGGTACGTTTCCCCCCACGATCCCGAGCAGAGGCAATCTGTTGCTTCTGAGGAGGAGAAAATCGATAGAGTCACCAGAGATGCTGACTTCGCCCCAACAGTCGACCTGAACAAGCGCGCCGGTGAGCTCACCTCGGAAGAGCTCGAGCGTATCGTCACCATCATCCAGAACCCCACCCAGTACAAGATCCCCGCGTGGTTCCTCAACAGACAGCGCGACATTGTCGACGGCAAGGACAGCCAGATCCTCGCCAACGGTGTCGCCTCCAAGCTCCGCGACGATCTCGAGCGCCTCAAGAAGATCCGCGCCCACCGTGGTCTCCGTCACTACTGGGGCCTCCGTGTCCGTGGTCAGCACACCAAGACCACCGGTCGCCGCGGCCGTACCGTCGGTGTCTCCAAGAAGAAGGGTGGCTAAACGTATCGCTCGTCATGACGACTCTGACGAGGGTTTGGGTGGTGTTGCGGCTGGGGACCAACAAACATTAAGGCGGCCGGCGTGTTATCGGGCTTGGTTTTTCTCTCTATGTCTCTTGGCGACAACATCCATCTACAACAAAATGATGATGATTCATTCTCTGGGGCATTACCACCACCCGCTGAGGAGGGGATTGCCATTCAGATAACGTGAACAAACAACGGAAGAGTCTCCATCATACCAAGAAACAAAAAGGCTTTCAAAAAAAAGTTGACTTTTGGTTCCTTGTGATGTGACTACTGGTGTCTAAAAATGGGAATTGATTTGTTGTTCAACATCTCGGGATCGTATAAACTTGTGACATGCCTTTTTCTGTATCTGCGCCTGGGTTTCCGTATTCCGGATTTTATGGTGGACCTTTCAGTGACATATCAAGTGTCTGCCATTTTGGACATGTGCGACATCCAAGCGAGCGGAGCTGCTGCCGGCGTGTGGGGATTAACCTTCGGTCTGTACGATGCCGGTGATGGAGGTATCCGGCTCCCCCCCTGACGGCCTTGACGTCGTTGAGGGTGCTGCCTCAGCATATGAACTTGCTGATCTCGGACTCTTTGCCCAGGTCTCCATGGTGAAGGCTGTAGCTTCCAGAGTAGTGTGTGGATAATGGCAGGCTCCTCATCGTACTTCAGCATGACCCCATCACAGACAGCAAGCAGCATCGCAACGTGAAGCGTGCTAAACGTTAAGACCATTATGCCATATTCGTATCGTTAAGAACAAACCCTCGATCTAGGGGGTATCATGCCACGTCTTTTTTTCTTCCCTTTTACTTCCCCTCGACTTCCTCATCTCTAGTCTTCATGGATAACAGCCATATCCAACACCTCAACCCGTCCCTGTCCCCTCGTCTCGCTCGAGATAAAGTCACCCAGCCCCTTGAACGCACCCGGCTCGACAAAGCCCACGACCTCCCACTCGCTGCCCAGCACGTCCTGGCTCTCGACCTGCTCCACGAAAGATAGGATGCGGTCCTTGACGGTCCCCGCCTTGGCCTGCTCCCCGTCCTCGCCACTCTTGGGCGCCGCCGGCTTGACGGCCTGCTTCAGCACGCTCGTCACACACGTCACCCTCAGCCTCATCCGCGCCCTCTGCACGGGGATCGGCTGCGCCGCGATCAGCGCCTTCATCGCCTCCAGCGCCTGGCTCTTCGCCGACTTGGTCGTCACCACGCCCGTCCAGTGTGGCACGCTCTTCTCCCTCGGCTTCGCCTCCCCCTCCTCCCCGCCCGCAGGCGTTCCGGCGCCGCTGTTCACCGCGCTGCTGCCGCCCTTCTTTCCCGCGCCGGCCGCGTCCTCCGCAGCAGAGTGCGCCGCCGACGACAGCATGTCCAGCGCCTTCTCTATCATGCCGGTCGTGTACACCCTCTTCGTCCGCGGGTCCACGAGCCTGCTGGCCACGATGCCGATGACCTCGTTGTGCACCCTCTCGAGCTGCTCCGCGCGCTCTTTGCCGCCGACCTGCATCTCCCCCTTCTTCAGGATCTCCAGGACGATGTCGTCGGTGGACTTGCCCTTGCCAAACGCCTTCTCGAGGTCCTCTTTCGGCGCCGTCTGGCCCTTGGACACGTTGAGGAAGACGTTGGGGATCTGGAGAACGTTGTCGAGGTCTGTCTCGACGCCGGAGCGCCATTCCATCACCTTATTCTTGTAGCACGCGATCTCGAAGCGCTTCTTGCCCTTTTTGAGCCGCACCATGGACACGTTGGTCAGCTTGATCTGGTTCGACGGTTGGTTGATTCGCGACGACATCGTGGCGGTTTACTGCTTCGGCAGTGGCGTTTGCGTTTGTTTTACGATCGATACAAGGTTGGGGGGGCTTGTGTGTAGTAGTTTGCACTATTCAAGTGGCAAAATCGAACGGTTCGTCGTCGTCGTTGTTTGCACGAAGTTCTCGCCCGAAAAGGTTTGGCGGGATAGTTGGTTGTACAGCAGCTGCGAGGAGGGGCAGCGGGCGGTGAAATATCTGTAGGCTGGTTGGTACCTGGGCGGGTTGATCTGACGTTATTTTGCGGGTACCGCACCTGCTTGGACATACGCCGCCGCGGTGACTAATACCATCATTTCGACTCATCCCCGAATCTTAGTCAAATCGGATGGAACGCGACCATAAATGGCTTGAGATATGTCACTTGATACCAAGATTGCGATTATGCGTACGTGAAAAGAGTCATATTCTAGCAGCGTAACTAAGATCTACCGCGCTGGGCTGACACTGGCGCCCACCCAAACGAGACGACTGGGTCTCTGGTATTAATATACTCCAATGCCCAGTCTACAACGATCCAATACAAGCGGACACTGCGACAATCCATCCACACGAATCATTCTTTCGTTCATACACATCGTTACATTGAGCACGCTTAAGCGCTCCACTCACCGCCCAACCAGCGGTTGAAGAAGTCTGACGAAGCCTCGGGCTGGTCCATGGGGACCATGTGGCCAGCACCGTAGAGCTGCATGAAGGTGAAGTTGCCGCTGGACTTGACCTTGCCGTATTCCTCGCCCTTGCCAACGTGGAGGCCCTTGACCTCGGCCTTGTTGAACGACTTCTGACCGGGCCACTCGAGAGCCTCGGTCCAGGCACGGTTGCCGAGCCAGTTGCAGATGTAGTCAGCATCACCAGCGTAGATGAGGACGGGGATCTTCTCGAGAAGCTTGGGAACAACGCGGTGGAAGGGCTGGAACCAGTCGCCAGCGAAGAGGAAGTTGCGATTGATGTCAAAGTTGCAGCTGTCGTAGCTGTCGACCTCGGCGCCGAGGGCCTCCTTGACGGAATCTTGGTTCAGGTAGTCGGCGATCCAGCCAAGAGCAGAGTAGCACAGATTGCTGCTGTCCTCGCACTTGCCACGGATGTCGTAGACGTTCTGTCCGGTGCGCTGGTAAGGGCCGATGAGGGCGTTGTTGCAGTAGATGCTGGCGGGGACGCAAGACCAGACGCTGCCAGAATCGTAGCAGTTGTTGATCAGGCTCTGGCAGCGGGGAAGGGCATTGTCCATGGCCTGGCACTCGCCCTGGTCGAGAACGGCAGGGTAGCCACCCTCTCCGCAAGCCATGGGGCGGTAGTATTCGTACTGGGTCAGGCCGTCAGTGAGACCGTTGCCAATCAGGACACTCTTCAGGTTGATGTTGCGGTCCTCGTGAGAGAGAATCTCAGAGGCGAAGACGGGGATGTAGTGGCCGGCATAGGACTCGCCAGCAATGTGGAAGTCCTGCTTGGCGTACTCGGGGAATTCGTGGAAGAAGAGGGAGAGCAGGGCGTAGACATCCTTGCCAGCAGCGACCGTGTTGGAGACGGAAGAGCCAGAGTAGGAGTAGCCGACGTTGACGGGCTGGTCAAGGAAGATGACGGAGGCGTTGTTGTTCCACGACCACTCGTTGTTGACAACCTTGAGTTTCTTGTCGATAGAAGCAGGGCCGAGCTCCATGAACAGACCGGTGAGGGAAGAGCAGCCAGGGCCACCGTTGAGCCACAGAACAACGGGGTCGTTCTTGGGGTCGTTGCGGGACTCGAAGAACCCTACATAGTTGTTAGTTGATTCGATAAGATAATGCAGGTTCCAAATGATGGTTACTCACAGTAGAAGAGATGCTTGTCGTTCTCCTCGTCATCGAGGTAACCGCTGTACTGCTTGACCTTGTCTACGCCGAGAGCGGAGGGGTCGACCTTCTTGGCGCGCAGGTTGAAGTTCTTGAGAGGACCCCCAACCTTGCGGTGCTTCTCGCCATTCTTCTCAACCCACATGCTCTCAAGGTCAGCGCCCTTGACGACGTGATCCCAGTGCTTATCAGCCTTGCGGCGGTGGGGCTTGGGCTTGGAGGGAATGGCGTTCTTCTTGAAGGCCTCGACAGCGTCGGGAGCGAGGAGAGTGATTTCGTCCCAGACGGCCTTGGCTTCAGAGGTCATCTTGCCAAACTTGTCCTCGAACGCCGACAACCAGTTCTCGCCGGCAGTCTTGATGGAGTCGAAGGGACTGTCGTTGCCACCAAGGACATGCTGGTCCAGGGCGACCGCGGTGGAGGCGGCGCCGAGCACGAGGGCGGAGGTTGAGAACCTCATGGTGTGGGCAGGCAATTAGCTCGGGAATGGAACTATCGCTAACGTTGATGGGTTGTATCAAGATGATGCTGATGAATGATAGCTCTGATGCGAAAGGAGGAGGGAGGGAGAGGATGGTGTTGAAGGAGGAAAGATTGGGCGATGGGGAGGAGGGAGCTCGGAGTAAGTATGGCTGGCGGGTCATAGGCAGGAAGCTCGCGGACGTAATGAAACATGACGAGGTGGGCGCGGGTTGACTGGGTGCTAGTGGATGCTCATGCTGGGGACCTGGAGGAACCCTCTTGCCGTAGACGGCAGCGTGCAGGTAGGGAGGGCAGCTCCCAATGTCACCAATGGGTGGACTGGGGTGTGCTGGCCCCTGGGCCTGCCGTCGCAGCAGCAGCTACAGCTACAACCGAAGCCAGCAGTAGCCGTGACAGCAGCAGCAGCAGCAAACAGCTCAGCGCGCACTGTTGGTCTGTTGCTGTGGAGAGCTTCGGAAGCTGAGCAACGACCGGCTCGAGCCAAGCGTTGCCAAAACATACCTGTCGGGGATGCGTGTACTTCGTACAGGGTAGCGCCCACCTGACCCCCGCGACTCGGACGCTTAAAAGAGAACCTGCCTGTTGCAGACTCACTAACACGTCGCGCTGTGCCATGAGCTGTGTGCCTGTTAGTGCCGGGCTTGCGTGTGTCTCGACTTCCATGGCTGCTGAGGTACTAAGGCTCCCACGCGCCGACGGCCGACGTCTCGTTCACCCTGCCCCCCTTCGGTTCGTCTGCGTCATGCCAGGTACAGGACAGGCACAGAACCTGGGCGCTTTTGCTGCGGCGGCCCACATATGTCTTCCTGATAAGCGCATCCCGCATTCCGATTCGCGGCGGTATCATGGGGGGATTCTCAGGCACAAACGCTGCCCTGCACCGCCCCCGGCTCTGGTCACGAGCCTACTGAGAGCCGTTGGAGCTGGTGCTCAAGATGCAGTGCCAAAGGGACGAGGGGCGTTCGCTGCTTGCAATCAAATCTACTCGCACTTTGTTTGGTATTGTATTTCCGGGGTCGAGGTGTGAAGAAAACATCTAGATTGCTCTGTGCTATCTACTAACCCGCAGGTTACGAATCACCATGGCAGCATGGAATGGCCGGTTAACTAACGTCAGTCAACGTCAGACACCCTGCGAGACGCGTGACCGCTCGGTTGACCGCGAACCTCTACGGCCAACCCGTCTGTGGTAAGACCATAGGCCAGCTTCCTGGCCGACTTGTCTCGTAGCCTCAGTCATTCAATGCCCATCACCGCCATCTGCCTGATCTTTTGCCCTGGCTTCCAGAGCAGACTCCGACGCCCCCTGCTCTGCATCGTAGAACCGCCGCAAATTACCCCGGATCGTTCATTCGTGACCGCCATTTAACACGGGTGGGCGCCTGTCGACGTCACCCATGTCGCCCCAGGCCTAAAAGCGGTACCGGCTGCCAAGCCTGGGGGTCAAGTGTCATCAGTCCCTTCCTAGTGGTCGCTTTGTGATACTAGGTTCTGTCTCCCCTAAGACGATGATCCATTTATGAGCGGCCTCGCGGAACTGGTCAGAGTTTGTATTCGTCTACCACGGACGTTCGGCCCTTCCCAGCCATTCGTCCTCCTGACATCTGTTTCTTCTGGTCTGGTCGCAAGCCTTCTCGGCCGTAATCAAAACAAGGCTTCGCCGCCATCCTCCTTGGTACCAGACCTTCGCTGTCCTGATGCCCTATCATCACAATCCACCTGTCTGCCCGGAAACGCCGCCTTCTGTCCAGCCCATTCTGATGCCCGCGGGGCTGTTGAGACCACCGAGAACTTGTGTTCTCACTAAGCCTTCCATCCACTTCATAAGAAACGTGGCCATGCCTCCCCAATGCCGTCGCCGTTGTCTGGCCAAACACCAAATCCCCAAAGCATTAACTCCGTCTCCGATACTGTACATATATAGCGAGGTCCTTATACTGCTTTACAAGTCATTTCGTGTGTGGGTGCCGCCTGGTCATCTCGGTTCGTTATTAGATTAATAACAGCGTAGCTCGGGTATATCGACGACCAGGACAGCTGTGTGAACCACCACGTTTGAGGGCTTTTGTGCCCATGTGCCACTACCTCCGAGGGGCAGTCGTCTTCGGCTTACCTCGCTCCAACCCAACGTCATCAACCGGCTGTGTCAGCCGCCGGCATCGAAGGGCTTGCAGACCTGGTGCCCCGGAAGAAGTTGAACGCCTTTATGCGGAACCTGCTGGATTTCTTCTTGACCAACTTTCTCCCTCCGTCTACTCTGCAGCTTTCATGCGATGTGTAAGAGCCGTTCGCTTCTTGATCCATCATCGGGGGCTCGAGCTTGCCTTCGTTGAACGGCTTGGGTTCCGAGATCGTGGGAACGCCAGGGATGTGCTCCGCGGACTCTGCACTGACAATACTAGTGCCTTGCGTGCTTGGAGAAAGAGGCATTTTCCCCGTGGTAGCACTGGTAGCCTGCGAAGCCCAGTCTCCGCCGTACTGGCCCGTAATGCTTCCGTCGGTTGTCTCGCTACAGCGTTGTTTCCCGTTGTGGCCGTGGTGGTTATCAGGAGAGCTGCTCGCCCTGTCCCTGCTATGGAAAGGATCGCTCGCGGCGAAGTCTGCCACCGAGTCAAACGTCGTCACGATGCCGTTTACTTCCTTGTAGTCGTCGGAAGTGTCTGGCACATGCATGGGCCTGTTCACCGGATCGGCCGGCCCTGGCGACAATTCCTTGTCTTCCCGTTTTGATTCGTCCAACAGCGACGGTGGTGTTGCGAGTTCCTCCGTCAAGGGCGTCGACACCCGAGGGGTCATGGACTCTCTCTGACTCTCGGGACCGCCCACAAAACTCATAGTTCGCGGGGAGAATGTCCCGTCGCGGAGAAGTCGCTTGCGTACGGGGTCCTCCTTGGCCTGCTCGTCTCGGACACGCTGTTCGAAGAGGCCCTTGTTGATTTCGAGCTCGTCAACCGTGTATCTCATTGCCGGGAGTATGTCGGCCACCCCCTGAAAGAGTGGAATAGCAAACATATTCATGAAGCTCAATTGTGCCTTGGAGAGCGACATTAGGTCCTTCTTCGGGGGTGCAAGAAGAGACGACGCAATGTCCAATTCATTCTCCATGGAAGCTTGGCGTGAGAATTCGTCTGAGAGAATATGCATCCACTTAAGAGCAGTCTCGTGTTTCCTCGCCTGTGGTGCGCAAGTTATCATCCTGCCCATATTGAAATGCAACGGACCCAACTTACCACATTACTAATGTCTGCACATTTGATGAGCAAGGAGCAGGCCAACGCCTTCTGTTCCTCCAGCATACGACCATTCCATCCATCGGTGGTGTTACTAACATCCAGCTTCTCTTGGGTGTCGCCAAGCTTTTTCATGTAGTCGAAATGGAGACCCATGTCAGTGGCAAGTATGGAGCTGATCATGAGGTTCCTCATCTTGGTGTCCTCGAACGCGCTGGGCCAGTACCTTCGCAGGATCTGCGAATACGCAGCGCAGTGGAATGACTCAAGGACGGAGCGGTCGTTGTAAAGCTGAGCCAATGGTGCGTTGAGGGTGACGAGGAAGCCGTTGTTGACACCAGGATGTCCGACGTCATGTCCGATGGCCGTGATCAGAAGCGTGAGGCCCTCGAAAGGATGCAACAAGCTGGCCATGGGAGACTTTTCGGGAAGCTGTTCAGGCGCAAGCGAGTCTTGAGGGAATGGCGCCAGGGTTCCAATGCGAACTAGGAAATGGAAGGTGGCCTGGAGGACGTCGACAACATGTCGGAAGTTGTGGTATGGAACGAAGTTGTTGTACGCAGCTCTGCAGGCAACCAGGAAACTAATGAGCTGATCTGGGAATTGTTAGCGACTGCACCGAGTCTTGCCAGCCAGCAGCATTCACCTGTGGGAATCCGCCAACGATCTAACTCGGGCATGGTCAACGCATGTTTGAACATGACCATCGCTGCCACGAGCAGCTCGTCATCGGTCCAGCTGTGGGCACAGAAGTGCCACTTGCCTACAGCGGCAGCGACGGCGGCTTGGCGATCAGTGGATACGGCGATGCTGACGTTGGCGATCCGATCATCGTCTGAATCCGCGCCCGACCGGCATATGCCTCTCATAAGACCAGATACCATGGCTTCCCTCAAGTATGCAAAGGGCTTTTCCTCGTTTACGCCGACCCATGAACGCTTCCTGCCTCTGCGGACCTCTAGCATCTCTTGCTGTTCTCTTGCTGCCTCTTTGTGGCCGCGGTAAGCATGGATCTCCAAACTGGTGACGCATTTGGGGTGCAAAGGGCTAATGATGACATCTACTGCACCAAGATCGAGACAGCGAATGATCAGTCGTCGATCGACTGTGGGCGAGTTTTTCGTTTCCGCGTCTTCGATCGTGCTGCCATTGGCGTGAGGGACTTCAAACGAGGAAAAGCTCACGACTGGGATAGGTACGACCAGCTTGGATGTGCTACGCAAGTGAGCCTCAGTCATGATTCTCTGCAGTAACTTCAGACCGTAGACCTCCTCTTCTGGGGTATGTATATCAATATCGGCAGTGACTGGGCGCGAGTGCGGCGAAGGTGACCTAGACTTTGACCGGACCTTGGGTAAGCGCTCGTCGTAAGGGACGTCGACGAGGACAAGAGTTGGCGTGAGATCCATCATTGACTCGTCGGAAAGTTGGAAAAGCGTCGAGATGCATGCTGAGCCGGTGGAACAGAGGTAGACTGGCGAAGTGCCGTTAGCATCACGAGCGAGAACGAGGGGTTTATCGATTCCATACCTTCTCCAAAGGTATCCAGCAAAAGTGCGGCGTCTTTTTGTATATATTCAACTTCTCCACTGGCTACATCGCCATTCGACAGGTGTGCATCGGTCGCATCATTGCGTATCAGTCTGTCTTGGCGAACCTGACGGTTCACGTAGACGACATGACAAGTAGCGTTGTCCATCGCGGCTTCGGGGAGCAACCAGTCTCGCGACCGGAGCGCTCTGGCCACAAGGGCGAAGGAGGCTTAAAGCGTGACGATGCGATTGAGCAAAATGGCAATCCAAGGGGCTCCGCAGAGGATAATTCGAGGACGGCAACCCAGTCCGATTGAACAACAGCACGGCGGCGCGACGCCCGCGACGTATCAGCGAATGCGCAGTCTGGCGCAATAAAATCGAAGCCTGGATGATGTGCGGGCGAAGGGATCGGGACAGTTAAGGTACAAGCGAGGTCGAGGTATGGGCCTGATTTCTCGTCCAGGGTAGACGCCCAAGCGCACGCGATTAAATCAACGGCGCAATTGCGGTGGTGGTCACCAGGATTGTCATCGATGGCAGTCGCACAGCGCCGGGAGAACCGAAGGCATGGGAGGGTTGAATGCAATCAATCTCGCCGTGTACGGGAGCGTAGAGGGACGAGGAGGGGATTGTCGTTTCGCAGTTGCGGGTACCGTCGCGCGGAAAGTTCGTTATGTACTCGGGACCAAGGTGGAGGCTCCTCTATGCTGCTGGCAGCGACCGAGTCATCGGGTTAGTTGTGGACAAAATACAAGTTGACGAGGGGGGGAAGCGGGCGAGAGAAAACAGAGCACAAACAAGCAGCGACGACGACGACGAGGAAAGACGTAATATCATGAGGGCAGGCTACGTACAACAGGGCTGGGACGAACGGGCGTGAAGTGGGAAGAAGGGAAAAAGAAGGCAAGCGTCAGGTAGCTGGGACGGGAGGATAGAGAGGAGTACAATGGGCAGTCAGGCTTCGAGTACGAAATTGTTAAGCCAGGCAAGGGGGGGAGGGGGGTATGGTGGGTGTGTGTGTGTGTGTGTGTGTGTGTGCGTGGTTGCTTGCTTGCTGCGTGCGTGTGGTTCTTTGGTGGGCGGTCCAATGTCAGTGGCAGTGGCAGAGAGCGAAAGACTTGGGGTGGGTGGGAGAGAGGAGCGCTCGCGCGGGAGCCCCATCCCAGAAGCAGCGCAGAACAGACCAAGCTTCCTTGCCTTACCCTTCCCCTCTACATACTTTGCCCAACAAAGCAAGGCGGGACAGAACAAGAAACACCATGGAAGCTCGAGAGAAAGCTAGAGGAGTGCAGCTAGTTTTTGCAGGGCGAAAACGACTTACCAATTCTGCTCTTGGTCCCTTTTCCTTTTTTTTCCCCCCTTTCTCTCTCTTCCGGCTCCGCTCGTTTCTTTTCGCTCCCTTCCGCGTGGCGAGTGCAAGAGACGGAGACTGAGTGACTGACTGAGTAAGTGAGGGGGGGCGAACAAGTGCGTAAAGTGTAAATGTGTAATGCAGGCCCTTATGGATGTTTCCTGAGATGTTGGCTGGGGGAAGATGGGAATGAAAGAGGAGAAGGCGGATGAGATTTCGACAGCAGCGAGGAATGGATGAGAGATTGGCGAATGCTGGTTGGATTTGCAGACGAGGTGGTGGTGGTAGTGTTGGTGGTGATGAATGGTAAGTGGCAGCAACGTAGTGGTGGCGCGGTCTTGGTGGTGTGCGCACGCAGGCAGGCACTTGGGAAGAGTGAGGGTCAGGTAGGTAAGGTAGGTAAGGTAGGTAGGGTGGGTAGGTAGGCAAAGTGAAGTGAGGCCAGTACCTTAGGTAAGTACCTGACGAAAGTACCTTCCACGAGAAGTGTACCTCTTTGCCGTAACGCAGTTGGAAGAGGCTAAGGTTTTACTGGCGCATCTCGGGAGGAGAATGTTTGTGGATGGATGCAGAATGGAACGAAGACGATGGTCCAGAGAAGGAAAGGTGGGCTCTAACTAAGACGCTCCCCAAAGACGCTCCCCAAAGACGCTCTGAGAAGACAAGTTCAGTAAAGCAAGATGCCGAGCAGGAAGCGAGGCAACGCCCACCAAGCTCAGGTATTGCGCTGCTCTGCGCTGGGTTGCGTTGCGGTAACAGTTGCACCTGTCGTTGCAATTCGGCCTCGAGACGGCATCAGGGCTGCTGGATGCTACGCTTGAAGATGAAGCAGAGGAAATGGTATCAGGATCTCGTTCACATCATGGCACCTGCTTTACAGGCCCTGCAGAAGCAACAGCTACAGCGGGTGTTCAAAGTCGTCAGCAGCAAGCGGAGCGACGTAGGGGCTGCAAGCAGCCATCTCACGAGGTTGCAGGGGCACAGTGCGATGATGAGGCGGACATCAACAGGTGAATAGCGGACAATAACAACTGGATTCGACCGAGTCATCTGAGGTGACTTCAATCCGGGGCATTGGGCTCTGTTCCCGCGCTGCTGGTCTGGGAGATGCACCGCACAGGGCGAATGGAAGGCAGACAGAGGGAAGAAAAAGTGAGATGCCGGGGGCCTTCGTCACCTGGCAGCTGTGGAAACAATGATTTCCCACTGGGTCTGGACTGGACTTTGCAGACTCAGAATGGGAGGCCATGTCGGAATCAGAATCTGACAAGCCTACACCAGGCGGAGACGGGTTGGGACGATCATGGATGTGCGTACGAGCGTTGCGCCTGCATCTGCGCCTGCGTCTGCGTCTGCTTCTGCGTCTGCTTCTGCGCCTGCGTCTCGCAACGCGGAGGGGAACCGTCAAGCGAAGCGGGCGAGAAGGGGTCGAATAACGAGAGAGAATGCGGGCAATGCCGCAAAGGGGGAGTTGTTTCCGTTCAGGTCTCCTGAGCTGAATGCACTGAAGACGAAGAGGACGCAGTCTTGAATTCTGTTTGGCCTTACCCCCAGGGCATGCAGGCTGAGAGCCCAGCCGGCATGGCAGGAGTTGCTTATCTCTCTGGGTATTCGTACCTGGCCTACCAAGCTGTCTATTTCGTCTTCGTATCTTAGGTACCTACCTACCTTACAACCCCCAGTCGCTACCCGGGAAGAGACGTTGCCCTGTTCGTGCGAGGGGAAGGGAAGACGGGCAAGACAGGGAAGGCCAGGGCCCTGCACCCGGTCTTCTGGCCGGCTTCTCGAACATCGATCGAAAGCGTGGAAGGCTTCCAAGGACCACAAGTTGCAAGGGGGCGCACTGGAGAGGGGCTTTTTGGGGGGGGGTTGCACCGGGGGTTCTGACTGGAACAGCTGGGAACAGGGTTTGCAGGGAACGCTAGGTACCCAAAGCATCCCACGCCGCGCTTGCCAGGTCGTACCAGCCTGCGCTTGCCGGGATACCTGGGCGTTTTGGGGCAAGAGCGAGGGCGAAGGAAGGGACATTGGAAACAATTAGGAAAGAGGTACCATACCGGGGCGGCGCGGCGCAGCCGTCGCTGGCCGTCAGTGGTCACTCAATCACTGAAAAAGTATGGTGCACCTGCACCACACCCACCTTCCCGCCCGCGCCGTCCACTGAGACTCTCTGTCACATTCCGAGTCTCTTACTGGTCCGAGGTAGGCTCACTGCCATTGACGTGCTTCCACCACCACCACTACTTACCTGCCTGCATCGCACACCTCACTGCAAATGCAGCAAACCCAACAGTAAGGTGCATTCCCGTCTGCCACGGATACCACTGCGCAGTCTCGCCGGTTTTCATCGCCCACCGGCTGGAATTGGTCAACCGGCGAACCACTCACAGCAGGCTCGTCACCGGCCACTGACTAGCTGCCTTTCGTCTTCGAAACACATCTCGAGATATCCCTCTCCATCTGCTGAGGTGTTCGGATTGCGTACGGTGTGGCGTTCGGTACCCTACCCTACGGATACGCCATATCGCTGCCCCCGGCATGTGCCAAGGACACACGATTTCCCCTTCTTTTACCTCATCGTCCCCCATCGCCATCCACCCACCGAAACCGACCACAATTGCATGCTGCACACAGTAATGGGCCTTCCCCAACCTCCTCCATATTCGAAAAGTCGAAATTGTCGCTCAATTCCCTCGAGGCTGCTGGCGCTGTCGCCAACTTCGTTCCACATCTGCCGCCATCAGCCTTTCTACCCGCATGCGTTCACCCGGCCGCACTTGCGTTTTGATTCCCGCCCCTCCCGCTCTGCAAACAATGATTGCCCGTACGCCAACTATTCGCTACAATTGTCACATATCTTCGCAAGGTACGGATGCCTTGACGGGAGCCAGCAAGGTGCCGCCGGGAAGGGGACCTGAGTCTTGAGAACAGAACCCGACTCGCTGTCCCCTTCGTTCGCTCTGCCGATCGTCGCCTCGCACAGGCTGTGACCGGCCTGCCACGCACGGAATGGAACCCACAGCTGCCCACATTGGTCAGCACAGCATCATGGCAAACATGGCTCCCTCCCCTCTCTGATCGCAGATTGCTATCCACATTGCGCAATATCGCCGATGATCTGGTCCACTTACTTGTTCTGCGTGGCTTCCAGAAGCAATGGAGAGGCGGAGAAAGAGGGAAGCCATGCATCGTGTCTCCCGACATGCTCTCCTTTATGTCGTGGATACCTTGACATCGGTCCTGATGATTGATCTGATCCACACAAAGTGATTAATTCCCTGGTCAAGCCTCGTCGACTGTTGCCCTGCCCTGGCTTTTTTCAGCTGACGGTACGACCTGCAACGTCCTCCCTCCCTTGACGCTTGCAAATTCTCCTCTGGGGGCCGCTGCCACCACACGCCCCGCTGAGTACGAATATCGACACCCGTTTTCTGCCCTACCGGTTGCTCAAAATGATTCAGCTTTCAGCTTCTGCCCGACAGCATCAACGAGACGTCAAACACCATACTGGACGTGTCGCTCG